CACACCCCTGCGGCGCGAGTGCCGCGGAAGCGGCGATGGAGGGAAGAGGCCGAAGAGGAGCAGCATCAAGAACTCTCTGCTCCCATTCGACCGCGGCCGCTGTGCGAGCCATACAGCCGGCCGAAGCAGAAGGCACGCAGACTGGTGTTGCCAGCTGACAGTGCAGACACGGCGACGATTGCGACGGAGATAGGAAGTGCGTCGCCAGAGAGACGAGAGGAAGCGCGGACGACCGCAGGAGCGACGGGCCACGCTGCAACCTCGTCGGGAGAGAGGCCGCCTACGGGCCAAGGGCCTCCGGAGTTACCACGTGCGATGCGGACAGATGTTCCGTTTGCGCACAGGCGAACCTCCGCGGACGGACGAGCCTCCGCGGATCGGCGAACACAAGTGGACGTGGATCTACGCTTACGCGTGGGAAGGAGCAGTCCGCCTGTGCACAGGCGCTCGCCTGTGCACAGAATACCTCCACACGTGCCGCCTGTGCACAGGCAAGAATCACCCCCGTTCCAACGTAGGAAGGGGAAGGAGCCGGCGGAAGAACCGCCTACGAGACACCGGCCCTCGGGGCCAGACCCTCCGGCGCACCACGCGCCGCAATTCGCGCCTTCGGCGCCAGGGCCTTCGAGCCGAGGGGATACGAGCAGAGAGCGTGCGGAGGCCGCACCATCGGCGGGAAGTACGCCGATAGATGCGCCTTCGGCGGTAGGGCCTATAGGCCAAGGAGCATCGGGCGTGCGGCCCCCGGCCATGTCGCCTTCGGCGATAGATGTCCGCGGCGCTACGCCTGCGGCGGACAAGGCGCCGGCACATGCGCCTGCGCACGGGCCGGGCACAGCCCCCACGGACCGATCAAGGGAGCAGCAGACGGAGGAGCGGAGTGACTGTCCGCGGGACGACATCTCGATGCGCGATGCGCAATCCAACCCCGCGCAGCCACCCTCCGCTCGATCGCCTTCGGCGACGGACGACGGCGACAGAGAGAATGCGGTGGGCAATCAACCAGCGAGCGACGGGGATGCCGCTCGGATACATTCGCCTTCCGCCTTAGACATTTTGGCGACGAGCAGCGAGGCTGCAGCCGTGCCTTCGCAGGCAGCACACGTCGAGGACGTGCAGCCCCACTCGGGGCAGTCGCCGACGCAATCAATGGCGACTGAAATTCTCCACTCGGATGATGAGGACGGAGGCTCCACGGAAGAAATGTCAGGAGCAGAAGACACCGAGGAGGAGGAGGAGGAAATTGTTGGAGCGCCGGCGGCGGCGCTCTCTGAGCAGGTGATTCCGTTGCTGCGGTACTTGGATCGCAAGGTCGATAAATACGCCGACCCACTCCAGCCGGGATCTTACATCGAGTTAGTGCGCAGGCGGACTCGCACTAAAGTCCACACCAGCAAGCTATTAGCTAGAGTGGACCAGGAGTTGAGGGACTTGAAGGAGAAGCATGAGTGCTTGTGGGGACAGTACAAGCTTAATCAGAAATTCTACAAGCACTCCGAGAAGATGAAGGATGAGAAACTGGGCGAGCTCACCAAGGAGCAGGTGAAGGTCAAGGAAGCACTCAACTCTGAGCAGGCCGAGAATCGGATTTTGTCAGAGGAGCTCGTGCGACAGACGCGGTTGTTGGAACAATGTCAGCTCGCACGGCAGGCGGATGAAGAATTAATCCGCAGTTTACAGTCAGAGTGTGGCGAATTGAGGGCGCAACGTGCTGAAGCCGAATCGCAATTAGTGACCATTGAAGAGGATCGCAGGAAGGAGGCGGATCGCACGAAGGTGGAGACGGCGAAGCGAGTCGCCCACTGTCTCAAGGGCTACGCCCACTGGGAAGTGAAGGCGCAGGAGAAACTCACACTGCGTGAGTTTGAATTGCGCGCAGCCGGGTTGTTGTCAGGCGACAGTAGGAGTCGGCGGAAGGTAGCGAAGAAGCTCGAGGCCTTTCTGTCGAAGGCACAGGATACCATGTCCGCCCTCGAGGGGGAGGTGTCCGCGGCGTTGCAGCGGTTGGGACTGCGTAGTCGAGCGGAAGAGTGGCAGGGTAGGGAGTTAGTGCGCGGCAGTCGGCCGCGCAGGAGACGTAGTACAGGTTCCGCGGAGTGTAGTGTAGCGTGGTTCCGTGCAGGCGTGTAGCGTAGTGCAGTGTAGTGTTAGGTAGGACTTAGAAGGTATAAAATAGTTCCAGGCGTTTTGCCTGGGGTTCTTTCCCAAACTCAGAAGTATAGTTCAGGAACCCATTTCCTTTGCGTGTTTGTGTCCTTGAGTTCTGTCACCACGCACGAGGAGTTACAACTTAGCGTTCCGCATTTTGTAGCTGAAGGCCTTCGGCCGAATGTTCAGAGCTAGTCCATTGGTTAGAGACTTGAGTAGTTCGGATCTGCACCTGCGGGTGACTGCCGATGCTCAGAGCCAGTGACTAGTTAGATACTTGAACAGTTTCGCCCCTACACCTTCGAGTGTTCCTTTCTGATTGTACTCCTTGGGATTTTTCCCCTGAATGCCAAAGTGAAGTTTTGCTACTTCGTGTAAGCCTTGGTTGTAAATTCAGGTTACGCTGCAGCAGGTGCCTTGAGGGTAACCCCTGTAGTATTTCTGGGAATGACAAGTGCCTGAGAATTCAAACTCTTCAATAGACTGTTGTTGTGTTACTGGAATGTTTCACAGTGAGTCCTTCAGTGCGGACCTGTGTTCTCTGCGCGTTTTGTGAGTTGAGAGTGTTGTTCACCGCGTCTGAGTGACTTCGATCCGAAGTAGGTAGTCCAAACCGGGTTTCCTACACTAGCAGCAAGCTAGTGGAAGCGTTGTAAAAGCCGGAGTTGGAAGTCACTGCCCGCAGCTTTGCCGAGTGTGCTCGTGAGAGACTTTCCCCCTGAAATCTTGAAGTAGAGGTCCTAACGGATCTCTGGGTTGTGTTTCTGTAGTTTCAGGTGTGTGTGTGTGTGTGTGTGTGTTACGCTGCACTGTGCGACCTCCGAGTGCGCTCCGAGTGGACACTTGCAGTATTTCTGGGAGTGACAGTCGCCTGAGAATTCAAACTCATCAATAGTCTGTTAAACGTGACACTTTGTACCCTGTGTGTTCCTCTGTCCCTGTGGGTTCGACCTTTCTACCACTATATTGCAGTTTTAGCCTTTAGTGGGTTATTACAATATACAATGTAGAATTTTGCACTTACCTGCAAGTCCAACCTTCCTATGAGAGTATTGATGTGTACTCACTGTTTTAAAAAGAAAGTAGTAAGCAAACATGATTCATAAATCATACATCAAGATACAGTGTATCACTATAATGTAAATGTTTCATTTTAAAATTTTTTTATCAAGAATATTTACTTCATCCGATGTATATTGACTAAGGCTTGTAAAGTAAGACAAATAGGAAATCATATTTGAAAGTACAAATGAGTTTTATTATAAAACATTGAAATCTTCGATTAATAATTAACTTTTAAAATTTTTTAATATCTTCATATATAATGAATAATCGAATATATATTCACATATACTGGTCTTTAAACTTGGTTCACTTGCTAGGTGAAGATTTCATCATGAGAAGCTTGATATCTTTTTGAAATCTTTGTATAATTTACGGTATTCCATATATTCGATTTTTTTAAGAAATGAATTATAAAATATTTGATTAATATATATGTATTTTTCTTTTTTAACGAAGTCTAAATAATTATATTCTTAGATTAGAATTATTTTCTACTAAAATATCATATAAGAAATGTATCACTAGTTTCAATTTTTTCTTGAAATTTTTTAGCTTCTTTTCACTTAATGATCTTACATCTAGTTGAGTATTCTACTAGATCCATGATAGCAGTGTCTGTTTTGAAAGGCAAATAACCTCAAGTACTATCGGAATATGATTTTTTTTCCCTATTTCCCATGGAAGTCCCGGGGCGGAATAATAATACTAACCATCCTCTTGCCATAATGCGCAGCTTCGGACAAGACGTCTACTGTTATCCGAGCATTGACTGTCAAGTCAAATGTATTGGCCTTTCTGATTACTCAGGCTGCTTGAGAGAGCACTGCTCGGTCATAGTACGCCTGACTCAGCGTCCAATTTCATATGGAACTCCAAACGGGTCATTCAACTTTCAGTCGTTTCTTATTGTGAAATATAGGGACGGCCTGTAAGAGGTAGGTCTGTTTCAACCTCTAAAATCAGCACCTATTTCTAAAAGATACAATTGATTTTTTTTTCTAACTCTGAATAATTACATATATGACATTATATTACTTTAGTCTCAAAAATGTTTTGAGAAAAGACAAAAAAGAGCGTAGAAATGAGCTGTGGGTTTTTGAAAACTGGTTCTTGCACTTGCTAGTGTTTCGCAGTAGCCATAATGTGCAAGTATCAACTTTTGTTAGATTATATTCAAGTCAAAATATGAGTTCTAGGTTCTGAGCTCTCCATCTTCTATCAATCATACGTGCCTTCAATGTCAACGGCTGTAACCAATTGTAACTGTCTTCACTTGTATTTAGACCCTAACGAAGACACCCATTACCAAGCCACTAACAAAATTATATCTGAAGAGCATTTTACTCATGTGTTTGTGTAAACGAAAGATTAAAACCCGTATGATCTGTTTGTTGTATTTTTTCCTTGACATTTATCCACAATTTTCATCATCTTCTAATAAGACAATATCTATATTACAAAGTAATCACGTGATTATTATAAACCAATACCAATATGCTAAAATTTAAAAATCAGTTGTAACAAAGTCTACAGCTAGTATGATATTTGATCTGATGAAGAATATCGAAACTTTCTTTGAAATTCAAATAATAATATAACTTAAAATATCATTTAAGTTTTACAATGTAAGGAAAATTTGTAAGAATCGATTGACTCAGGTTCAATACAGTTCTCAAAGCTAGAAATAACCTTTGAGTAATACTTCAAGTTATCTATTTCATTTGATCAATTTTTGTGGTGACATAGAAACTCCCGTGACCTTGAATTTTTGATATTTCGGGATACTCGATTGTCACGTTTCTTTTTCGAGAAGTCACTATTTCCGAAAAGTTAAAGTACACTCTGACACGGAACCTAACCCAACTCATTCTGGAATTACCTACCGAGCGATAAGCGTCGTACTATATACATGTCAGTTTACCGAGAGAAAGTACAAATCTTGATTGGTTGGGGATCAATGTCCGATGTGACACACCAGCGCGGAAGTGTAGTGACATGAGCGAGAGCTGGGTACAAGGAACTTCATATTTAGAACGTCAACTTCCCGATCCAGCTTGCAGTTCAGAATTCACTCCTCGATGTGGTGATATCTGCTTGTGGGGCAGGCAACGAGCCCCATGAAACAACAAAAGAAATAAGGCAGCACCCGAGTTGGTGGTGATCGTCAGTTTTATTATTGACTCTTGAAGTATTATATGAGTTTTTTTCGACCAGAAAGCACGAGTAACATCGGTTATCGCGACAGTCATCAAGATTTTAGTGAAAGCTGAAGCCTCTGTAAGCCAGAATAACACATGTATTCAAGTGTATCATAAATTTGGTTGCTACTCTTCTGGGCATTCTTAATCAGATAGAGGGCTTCATAAGGATATCCTTCTGTGTGTTTTTTTTTTATCGTTCAAAACCTGGTGAGAAGTCATTCGTGGCATTTGTATCGTATGATGGTGGCCAACAGGCATTTTCAGGCTTAAGATTCTGAAATTCAAGAAGATGAATCGGGGGCCAAAACTGGAAATCCGCTCCAGAATAGACGGGGCATGGTACGATGGTGATCTTATATTGGAAGGAAACCTCGTGCGTGTTCATTTTTCGGGATACTCCCGCGATGACGATGAGGTCTGGAGAATATGCGCTGTGCAGGATAAACGTTCCATAATTGGAACAGAAAAAGTAAGATTGAGATCTCGACAGTTTCAGGACCAAGAATGTTCCAGTATTAAGGAGGGCACTGAGATCTGTGCAATCTTGAGAACGGACGAGTTTATCAAGTATTACGACGCTGTTTTGATCAAGGTAAATGTATAAATACACTCATATTGTTCATCACAATCGAGTTTAGTCTCAACTTTATTTATTACTATCAACGGCTTTTGATAATGTACTTCTGTGTCATTCGCCTGAAATGAAGATCTCTATATGTACTTCAAAACAATGTGTATCCAAATTTTCAACTGACTGATCATTTCCCACAACACAACCAATGCTGTATTTCCTGCAGGTCAAGAGAACACCTCACATACACGGCGTTTGTTTTTGTTCTTTTCAAGTCGCATGGAAAGGAGGACCTAGAGAGGGTCAAAAAGCTTATTTGAAATGTGGCGACATTTGTGTTCTGAGGTTGAACAAAGAAGTACTCTATCGACATCCTGTCATCAAAATGCTCACAGATCTGGCAGGAAGAAATCCCAAAACCAGACTTTCACGCGTCGAACAAACTCGAAAGATGGAGAAGAGATAACAATTATTCCTCGTGTGAAATAAACATCAAGAAAGGAGGGATGTATTCTGTAAAAAAGGAAGAGTTTGAAGTTTCTACTCAATGAGATCAAGATCCCGGAAAGAGTCGACGATGATGGAGATAATTTGTCATAGGGAGAGTAGACACTTCTGCATTGTACAGTTTTTTCTGTTGTGAACACTTTTACGTCGTTGTTTTCACGATGTCTAAAATTGTATATCTTTCATTTAAGTTGCAACTGTTCAGTACCACTGACAACACAACACCTCTTGCGTTCAAGATTTCATTTTGTCCAGGACCGATTCAGATCACAGAAAAAAAACACGATAAAGAAATGTCGGAGAAATTTTTTGACATTAATATCAAATTTTGATACAGATATTTGTGTTAATAGTGATGAAGCAGTTCCAGATTCAGTTCAACCTTTTGGGATCGTCTTCCGCTGGATTCGTGTTGGAAGAACGTAATGGACTGAACATACTCATATCTGCAAACGTGCAGGTTCAACTCTCATGTGTGTAAAATTCTCGCTATCGTACACGCATCGCTGCCATTGACTTCAACATTAGACGGGTAAAAGTGGGATTCTGACTTCTATTCAAGAACCGCTCTTAGCTTTCTTTCTCAGGTAGAGATTAAGACATGGTCTGCTCAGATGCTGTAGTACTTGAAATTCCACTTTATACCACCAATGGTCGTTTGCATACTTCTTGCTGTAGGTTCAGCTTGATTGTTTGGTTTTCCTTGACTTGATGTTAATCTGTATGGCTAGGGCTATCCGTTCTGGGAGCACATTAGGGACACAATGAGCTCACAAAAAAAAATCGTTAATGAAAAGTAGAAGGCATGCAGTGTTAACAGGTCCATGGATCTTGACATTCATTTGATTAAAGGCCCACTCCTTACAAAACTTGGAGCAGTTCGGCTAGAAACTGCATACCTTGAAGTCATGGAATCCGTTTATTTCCTTTTCATAAAGACTTGGCTCTAAATATACATGCAGAGCCATTTATTAATTTCGTCAAGATTGATGTAGACACTGCTCGCCAGCATGACTGAATCGAAGCTGTTGCATCAGACTCTCGGACACATTCGAATTCAGCCATGAAGAATACAATTAGAACCAATGAGGAACGAACGTTTCACAGCAATTGATTTAGACCTGAACGCTCCGAAAATTGTAGACAAGTAGACTTTTGTACCCTCGCCTCATATTAATCGATGTTTCTCCGCATGTTGTTACCATACAATTAGATACCATTGAGATTTCTAAAATATCAAATTGAAATTGTCTGTAAACAACAGAGCATCCAATTGGAGCCAATAACCTAACGCAAAAGTGTAAAAAGTATTATTATGTAACAAATGTTTTGTCTCCTTTCAGCATTCTGGAAGCTAACAGTTTAATTCTGATTATTTATGCCAGCACGAATTCGATTCGTATGCAAAGCCTGATCGATCTGAGTGGAATCCTGTTTCAGTTGTCAAGTTGAAATTTTTGGTGAAAATGCCTCTTTTGTCCAGACGATAACCGGAGGACTCCAGCAAGAACTTAACGAAAAAGTGAACGGTACTCATCTCCATATTTTTTCTCCTCCTCTCAGTCACACATTTTCAGTGTTCATTCATATTCGCATACCAGCTAGATTAACCCATTGCATTCGTCCAAAAAGTTGAAAATATTTGATATTTGACCCATAACGGCTAATCTTTTTTTGCCTGACCTCTGCATAATGTTTGTACGTTTTGTACTCTAGGATCCTAAACCATGACTCCTCCAGTCTGCCGAAATTAATCCGGCCAAAATTCCATAGATTATAAATGCTGCTAGAGGGTATTCCACGTGGACGTCTTTACAATGTATGGAATTTTGGCCAGGGTAAGGAAGGGAGTTGATGTAAGAATGACTGATGCCGAGACAACCCGGGAGTACATGCGCTTGAATTTGCTAGTGAACTATGGATCGGGAACATCGTTGGGCTTCTAAGTTGACAGGAAGTTACGATTAGGTGTACAAATTCATGGTCATTCGAAACTCAGCAATGGAGAGCAAGTTGAGCACAAAAGAAAGATAAGTAATAAGAGAAATACAATTTGCTTATATTTTTCATTTCATTTCATATGGCAACAATGTTTCCAAATACTACGTCGGTTGAAAACGACTTCTCTATATATATATATGATCTCGCACCATCTTGACAAGACTTTCCTTCGCAGGTATTATACATGCCAAACAATTCGAAATGTTCAAGACGATTATCTCCAAGGACGAAAAGTAGTGAAATGACAGTGTTAATGCAAAACATGCCAAAATAAATTTTTTTGTTGGCATAATAACGTTATTTCTAACAAACCTGACATTTTCCAGAATTTATGAGGTATGTACTAAACCCAATCGATCTCAAATTGGTGCATCTAAGAAAACTCAGGTTAATATCTTAGACTAAATTTATTTTACACTATCTACTTGTTCAGTACAAGACCTGTGTGATCCATGACAATAAAATGGTGGGTTATCTTGTGGACTGGGGTTAGATGTTTACTGTCTAGTATTGTGGTAAACATCTCATAAGAGTTCACGATCTCCACTGTTGAGTCATAAAATAGAAAAAAATAGTTTATCATAAAATTTGTGGCATTGGAAACATATTTACGATTATTAAGTCTTAGTGGTGAGAAAATTTTTGTTGGGGCTTTGTGATCTTTTGAATGGAACTTAATTTTTATTATTCGTAGTATTCAAATTTCACATCTTCGTTGTTGATTGTGAGAGATTCACACAAATAAAAGTTTGATTCTGTTCAATGTTTTGATCAACAGATAGAATATAGAAGTCTGATTTTGAAAGATAAAATGAATGAAATATTTCAAAGTCACAGGGTAAATATTAAAATACCGGAATCAATCTCAAGACGAAAGGAAAATCATTTGCTGAAATATTTAACTTGAAGGAAATTATCATTTGGATTTAGTATATTAAATTTGAAGATTCTTCGTTCAATTTAGCTTTACATGATAAAAAAAGCTTCCCTTGGCAAATTTATGAATATATTCATCCCTTAATAGAGTTAATAATATTTAAATATCTAATATATTAAATAATTAAATTAATTAATAATATTATTATACTCTCATTTGTCATATTTGATAACAGTTTTCCGATATGCTTCTTTGAGGTCTTCAAACCCAATGAAAATTTAATTGAGCTCAACAGTAAGAGGGATACCACTTCATCAAACTTGGGTAATAGACATTTTCTCTTATTCCTAAAGTTTTTGAATTTTTTTTTGTTTTGCAAAATTCAGGTTGTATTCTGTGTGAGCCAAAACTCCCCACCTTTCAGCGTTTGTAATCCAGGTGAGGGTTCAAGCTCCCATAATCTAACTTCTCTGATCTCAAGCCATATGCTCTAAGTGTATTCAAGACAACGAGATCATAAACACTCGCTCTTCCACAGACAAATTGTCCAAAACTGAAACTATCAACTTGCTGTCTGCTATTTTCACAAGAGGGGCAGACAAGCTCTTCGTAACATAAAGATCTAACCCAACTCTGCGTGACCTTCTCAATACCACAGCCGTTGTGGGCTTATCCTATAATGAGTGCCACATCTCGGACACACTGCCTCGGACTAAGTCAAGTGACACACCGGCAGCACAAGGTGACACTCTTCCTAACAGCAATCTTCACAGCCGGGGAACACGATTCTACTATCAACACTTCGCTCGATTCTTCCTCTTAGTGATCAACTCATTCTCAGCCCAACGATCCCCTTGGCCCTCTCAGCGATCCACTCGGCCCTCACACACACTCTCGACTCTCCCTTCCACCCTGATTCCACTTCAAAAATCTGAGAGACCACACTCTCCCTCCCACACAGCGATCCTCTCCGCCCTCTCCCACACTCTCACAGCCTGTACTCACTGCTCACCTTCCTTCGACAGCCCCAGAACCCACCAGTTTTCTCTCTCAGATTTAACTCTCACGTTTCAGTTTCAAATTCAGATTACGACTGTCAGATTTCAGTCTCATATCTCACTTCAATTTCAGCTCCCACTCACAGATTCGACACTTCGATCTCAGACCCTGATTAAATTTCACTCTCAGATTTGACTCTCCACCCTCGAGAATTCGCTACCTCCTCCTTCGAATTCCCAACACTCTCTCCTAATTCTCACCACTTCCCCGCGAAAATCACTCACGTTCACACTCTATCCCTACGACCGATTCCACCTGCGTCCACACACAATGACACCCCTCAAGATCTCCGTTCCCAGTTCAAAATTCCTTCTTCAAAGTCCGAGGGTCGAGGGACCCACAGGCCGCTTGAATGCCGTTCTCGCAATGATGGGTAACGGCCTGCCTCTCACGCTTGACTTCACACCGCCGCCGCCGCCACACTTGTACATTCTACATTCATGACCACGCCGACTTCCGCCTTCGGAAATCTTCTTCCGCGTATCGCCGAAGGCATCCTACCGCCGAAGGATCTTCCGCCGAAGGCCCCTGCCCCGAAGGCCCTTCGCCTAACCATATCAGCCACTTTTGACACTCATTACTAAATGATCCGTCATCCGTTTCAAGAGTTCTTGGGCTCGTTGAAACGAGCGTGTTGAGCTCTATCTATCAAGACGCTAACTAAATCAAAGCGTTACGAATTGAAAAAGTAACGAGGGTTTTAATCTTCCGCCGAAGTCACTTTACCGCCGAAGGCCTTGCCCCAAAGGCGGTTCGCCTAACCATATCAGCCACTTTTGACACTCATAACTCAGTGATACTTATCCGTTTCCAGAGTTCTTGGGCTCGTTAGAACAATCGTGTCGAGCTCTATCCATCAAGATTCTAACTAAATCAAGACGTTACTAATTGAAAAAAAAGTTACGAGGGATTTACTCTATCATATTTCTTAAAAAAAAACTAGGCTACCACACCTCCTAGGTATTACACCAACTACTAATCTTGCCAAAACTTTCAAAAATACTCCAAGCATAATTTTGCAAAAGCTTAAATCCAAAATTTTAACTCTCATAAGGTTAAAAAGACATGTGAGGGCATTTTTGTGCTCACATTCTGCCTCTATGAGATGCACTTCCTACTGATCAGCATTATAGTTAGGTACTACAACTGCAAAGAACGACAACTTTGACAAGATAAAATAAAACTCGGTACAATTTCATGCAGCCATGTTAGATGAGAACCTGATGACATTGCCCATTCCACACCGTCTCACAACTTTCGGTGCTATTTCATCTCTAAAAACCAAACACGGGTGTTACCATACTTTTCTCTCTATCACTTGGCCCATGCAATACCCACATACACGGAATGTGAGGCTACCTTAGCCTCAAGATATCCAGTTTAAAACCTTTCAGATATTCACTTGAAGATATTTTCGTTCCATTGTTAAATTTCTGTTCTCATGTGGATTTCTCCAAGATTGCTCTTACAGTATGGAGATTGAAGATGACGTGTGAAGTTCAAATGGCTTCAATTCATACAACTACCTACCGTAGTCGCCTTCAATGACATGAAGGGCAGTTCCGGCTCAGATTGTCCCTGCTTCAATGACATGAAGCAGGGACAATCCAAACCGGTTGGCAGAAGTCCCAGAATCAAGGAATTCTAGATTCGATTGGTAACACCTTTAGACTCGTGTGAACCACCGAGGCTACTAGAACTCCTCATGCATATCGTTTTCGCTGAATCTGACATCGACGCTTTGATGACCAACGACGCTTTTTGGGTACAGTGCCATCTAAGATGTCGATGTGTGTATATAAAGGGTGGGGCCGGGTCCATCTAGGTGCAGTACTCAATTCAGCTTGGTGGAACTGAATTCATTGCCAGATGAGAGTGTGTGACCGTCCAGACTTGAAAACCTTGAAAACAGCTTAAAGAAAGCAAAATTTGAGGGCATTTTTAAAATCGCATGTGGTCGCTGAGAATCGCACAAGGCAGCTTACATTACAGTCTGACTGTCCTGCTCCAACGACAGCCATTCTTGTGAGTCCCCTTAGATTCTGCTTGCTGTTCTTACTACTACTCTGATGAACAACTCGTGCTTTTAAATCTGTACTATAAGATTTATACGATGAAGACTGTCAGAGGATTCATTGAGTTTACAGATGTGTTTTACAGTGGTAATAGCACTTGCCCTGTAGTTTACATATCATTGGTCTAACCGCAAAGCATGATCCAGATGCAACGAGTTCTACACCTGCATTTGATTTACTTCTTCCAGTGAAAGTTCGAAAGTTCGAAAAAATAAATTTCATTCTGAGTTGAACTTTTCTACGACGAGAAATGAATGGATAGGGGTCTAATCTCATAGTTCACTCTGCTCTCGACTCAAGGCACTGCTTTGGAAATGAAGCAGGCCATGAGTTTTAATAATGTGGTTGTCTAGAGTGATAATTTTGAGAACCTAGTCTTATTGTCTTAGAGACGGGTGACGAGTAGGGATTAATTATGTATGCAGGCAAAAGAGATGATAAATTGCGACCAGTGATACCTATCAGTGATCAATGATAGTTATCAGTCGGTTAATTGCAGTCACCAACGTCGAGAAATCATTGTGTGGGACTGACATTGAACGATTTCCTTTTGTCAGAGAGCGTGGAGAAGGGTTTGGATCTCATGCTCAACTGTGACATGTCCAGAAAAAAGAGTCGCGCAGAAGGGTCGTCATCGTTGACATATGATCGACATGGGTTTTCGGCGCGAGCTGGAATTTGTTGTCCAGATGAACTATACAACGAGCATCTGGCTCTTCTAAACTGGGGGCGTCGAAGTGAACCACCACTGGACATGGCTGTTTCAATGTTTCCAATTCCTCTCCAATCATTGGAGTGCGAGGACGCGAATCCACAGAATAAGGACGTCACTGTTTCACCAATGTGCATCATGAGGCCTGAGTTCTCACTCGAAAATTTTCCTGACCCAGACAACAGGTACAACCAATTTCGAGAAGTTCAGGAGCACGTACAGCAAGAGGACTTCTCTAACATTTCTAGCAGTTTTCCTGAGACTTTCACGGATGGTACTCGATTTTGTGTTCCTCAGTATCCTGTCCAGGAAGGGATAAACAACGCAAGCGGAGATTCTATAGCAAGTGCTGCAGCTCAAGAGCAGGTAGATGCCCTCGGTGGACTGACACTTACACCGTACTCCAACAACTTCTTAGATCAGATGTTTCGTGAGCCAGCAGCTGTCCATGTTCATGGGCATCATCCTATCAATCTTGGGAGTAACTCACAACTTCGGGACGGTATCGACCCTTGCATTCGGTCAAAGCATAACTCTTGTTCCACCTTGGAGGCCTCCTATCCAAGTCCCGCATCGCAGTCAGCCCGGGAATCTATCTTGAGAACGACAGTTCCACCTTCACCTGGAGAGTTGTCATGTCAAGACCATGCTCTCATGCAGCTGCAGCTGAACTTTGCTCTGAACGACGAGTTCATACGACTCCAGGGTGCCCAAGGCAAGTCACGCTCTCACGATCCGATACTGTCTCTTTTGCCAGCCGTGGATACGTATTTCCCTGAACGTGATGGGAAAAGTGGTTTGGAATCTTCTGGAGAGATAATGAAGTTCGAGGCGAATTTGGACACGGACGTGGACACAAGTTGCGGACTCAAGATGCCCCAGCTGCATGTTTTGCATGGGAAGGCTCCAACTAATCTGCCACCCTTGAATGGGGCTCATCTGGCAGCTCCAAGTCCCATGCGATATCCAGAAGGAGGTTCAGAGGCGGGGCTGATCTGTGCAGGTGGTAGACAGAAGAAGGACATACTTGCTGCGCCTGTTGCAGAAGCCCCACACTTCCATAAACGGGCATCTTTCAGCAGAGTGAACTCTGATCCAGCACCCCTCGCTCCGCAACATGGGTCGGCCAGCATGGATACCAGCAAGGCCAGAAATGCTCAGAACAGGGATCGAGTTCCATCCAACAAGTGTGTCGCTCAAACACCTTCACACTTGGACGCTGGCCCTGTTTCATCGACATTTGCCAGGGAAAAACTACGCCGTGAGAAGCTGACCGAGAACTACAACACCTTAAAATCTATGCTCCCAAAACATACCAAGGTAACTCGCTTCGCCTTTCTTCCTTTGTTAGTTATAGCGTGACAGATTTAAATTTGGGAATTTTGACATAGCTTTCTTTGATTGACCCGAGTGACCTGTATACACAAGTTGATGTCTTTGGTAATTATATAAATAAGTGGCACTGGGTATCTCTGACAATGAATTCTGAATTCTGAAAATTATTATAAATTAAAGGCCAATGATGCTAAGGAAGTAGAGGCGCATACTGAATATATCTTAAACTTCACCCAGTCATCATATGCATAGCCTTATTGAAAACGATCTACCAAAAGACATGTGAAGTAGACATGAGTTCATATGTCTCATTAAAAAATGAGATATTCAATAAGACATTGTTGGAAGTTGGAGACCCCTTCACTAAGAATTTGAGTTCTCAAGGAGAATCTTTCACCTTCAAAAGCAAGCAATATACATTTGGGCGAGGTGTTTTGTGGTGCATGTATAGACTATTCCCGTATTATTTCCTAAGAATTAATGCTTAGTTGCTCTCCACAAAAGTCGACTCTAGCAGAAATGTCAATTTGAATTTCAGTATTGAAGCATGGTGAAGATACGAGGAGCACGGGAAGTTTTAACGAGAAAGAATTGGCCTTTTGATGTAGGTAGATCGAGCGTCAATTTTGCAGGCAACAATAGCCCGTGTGAAGCTTCTAGAAAGTGAAAAATCCTATCTTGAGAATATGAAACAAAAGAGGTCGATCATGAAAAACCTTCAAGCACAGGAAAAGGCAGCTGAAGGTCAGATATCAGAGCAAAGCGGCGAAGTCGACTGTCATTGGCTTAAGAGGACTTCTCGTCATGGCACACGCGTGGACATGCGCATAGTCCATGATGAAATGTATGTCAACATAGTCCAGCAGCATCTGCCGATGTTCTTGTTGCGGATAATGTCGTTTCTCGAAACCAAGTTGAAACTTGATATCCTGAATGCGACAGGGAGCGTCATCAATGGTTTCGATGTCTACAACTTTGAACTTAAGGTGATATGTGATTTCCAACATGCACATGCTGTCATTCATTTCGTTATAAGTTCTTGTCTTTTCCTGCTTCAACGCTCTATTTCTAGAGCTTGAGCTGCATTGATAGCTTCTGAATCCCTACCTTTCTTACATCTGTCATTTGAACACACAATACTCTTATCAGCCACAGCTGTGCTATAAATTTGTATTGTTCATGAAAAGTAATTCCACAATCTCTACAGAACTTTAGAGATCATTGCTGCACTTGAGTCTCACAGTCATCTTGTCACTTGTCATCATTTGTCGTTTATTTGCAGATCAAAGGAGAATTATGTGGAGATGCGAGTGAGGTGATGAGAAACATTATGGATACATTGGACTCAGTGATTTGAGCAAACATATACATCAGCTTACTTCATATTCCAACATTTTTACTGCAACATGTATTCTATTTGTCCTTGTATAACAAATTAAAATATGCTAAGCTACAATTGACGAATTTTGAATTCCATTTTCATAGTATAGTCACTGTTCGAATGATTGTATCAGTAATGTATCATACTCTGATCTAGACGTGGATCCATGTAGCGCGAAGTGACTAGCTTCTGTCTTGGTCATATTGGTGATTTGACGTTCACAGTGGATTTCCTTTTCTTAGAAGGTTTTCATATACTACGTACATAATCAAGTTATGTGATTAAATTAGATAATCTGATATTCCCAAGACTGTAGGGTTAGAATCACTTGCATCTTCGTGAGGAAGAAAGATCAAGTCTAATCTGATATTACCTTATTTTATTTTTAATCATTGTGATAACTTCTAAAAATGTAGTCATTCTCATTAAGTGTATTATAGATGCGCTTATATTAGAGGCTGTGTAAATGTAAGACCAAACCGGTACGGAGATTAATTCAGACAGGACTACATCTATATTTCAAATCATTTCGCTTATATGTTCACTTGATCAAATATCATACTTCATTGATTCATAAATCCATAAAGTAAGTAATTTGATGAAGTGAATATTGATGATCAAGTCTGGGCATCTGTGTGTCCGGATACCATTTCCTATCATGATGTTATTCTGTATCTTTATAGTTCGCTTTCATAAGATATGATCAAGTATAATTTCTAACTTTTTTACTTTGCAATATTCTCCTATTTCATGTTTTAGTAAATTCAGGTGAGAAATTTAAGCCCTTATCATCACAGGTAAGAATATTTAGGATCACAGTAAGTTACTATCAGATTAAAAATTTATACAAGAAAATAGAAGGGAGAAAAAATTGAAAAAAGATATAGCATTGTTCACTAACTTATTGATATGAAGTTGAAAACTGCGATGTTCTTGTGTAACAGTTAAACATACGTGTGTTAACAACAGTGCGTTCACCCTCTTCTTCTAAAGCAACAAATGAGTTAGTATAGCAATAAATCACTTTACATCATATCTTGGGATTCCTTCCCATTTGATCATATTTGTTCTTAATTTTCATCACATATTACTTCATTTACAAATGAGTAAAGGAATTTGTGGACCTGTCAAAGTACAATGTCAAGGAAAAGAACTAGGTGATTCAAGTTTGCCCTCAAAGGTTCACTAAAACCGAAGTCAACTAACGTGGAACCTATAGAAAGTAGTTTCAAATGGGGATAGAACAGATTGATAATATCATCGAACATTTTGCAAATGGGTTTAGCTTTGCATGATCGGCCATAAATTTTATCAGTAGGAAATATGGCAGCGTAAGTTTTGGACTGGTTTGAGACTTGGAGGTTAAGATGCAAGATCGCACATGTAAAGGCCTCTTGGAAACGTCAAATCACACCCTTTATATTTGGTAGATGTCCCGGCGTATCATCCTTTGACTGTAAACCATTTTCAATCAATACGATCTAATAAAACGATATCGTTAGCACTGTTGGATAATTCCACCAGAAAAGTTTGATTGTAAAATACTGAACACAAGAACAGGTAGAGTAGTTTCCATAGAGAAAGACGAGCCGAGCAGTCTCACCAATTTGAATTTTTCTTTAATTTTCTGTCTGCAGTTGCTACGTATGTATACTGTGCTTGTTGGAAATTCATAAAAACTCATTATGACTGGTGAAGATGCAAGGACGCTCTCGAAAAGTCAAATCCATGCTTCTTCTACCCACATAACTATTTCATACGCAGATGTCTTACCACACTACCCACAACATCTAATACAGCTGGTTCCTTCGAGGCAGATAATGCAAGGGGGTTCCAACATCCGATGACCTGTCTTTTCAGTTATGTTTGTAGGAGGAGGCTTCTATTGTTCTTGATAGAAGGTCCTTTTCTGATGAAAAATTGAGATATGTTGGTGAAGATGCAATGAAGCCCCTGGCACGTGCACATGTAGAAACCATGTTCCCAATCACATCACATCACCATGTTGAGAGTTGTGTCCAATCGGCTTAAGAATTCCCAGATAGATAAGGAATCAGGTACACGGGAACGAACAACCAGTACATTGCCGTCGTTAACTTGAAAGACACCTTTCCTGTCAGACGAACCACCAACAACCGAGTTGGCACACTTCAGATGTGTTAGAAGTCTGGCGCGGTGGATCCTCGTGCAATGCATGGTAGAAGCATGGACAGCTCACGGACATGTCTTAGAATTGCGGGTGTGACCAGCACACGTCGGTCTTGTAGCGGTCAGTATGAAATTAATTGGCGTTTTCATCCGGTCATGATTTATTTATATCCTTGAGGTTGCATCAGGATTTAAAAAAATGCTGGGAAACTTGTGGCCCCAAACCATTGCGCTCTCAGCTAAGAAGAATTACATTCCCACAAAGTGGCCACTTTGGATCCCAGAGTAAGCTGGCTGACACGGCCATTGTTTTCATCTTGATGAATTTACATAATCTGTTTCCTGTCAGCACTGCATTTCTTTGAAAGTAACTATCTTCGTTTAGGCTATCAAACTAAATTGAAATCACATAGTGAAGTGTTGTGAGGGGGCATTAAATCACCTTTGGCTTGAAAATCGAATCTTACGAATGAAATATATTGCAAGGTCTATGCCAAAATTCCATATCTGGCTTACTACCTTTCAAGTTCAGAACTACTACAATAACATGAAGCAGTCAAGAAAATAAAGAGGTATGGATCATATGTTATACACTGCTCGACTCTAGTTAGTTAGGAAAACGACTTTCTTTTGTGCTATAGCACAAAACGAATGCTTCGGCCTTGTGAAGTACTTTATCCAGGAGATCTTAGTTGTCGTTTATAGCTTCGCTTTGGTGATCTTCAGGGTTTGCAACTTGTTTGCGACTCAAAAAGTAGGTCTCTGCCGTCACCAGATATTTAATATACATGAATCAGCAGTGCAGACGAGCAACAAATGCATCCCATGATCCTTGGATGTTTAAGAACTCTCAAGGAACGAAGACTATTTTCGAGGCGCAGTCAAACTCTCAAGCAATCCAAGTTTTTGGATCTGGAACTGAAACTCAAGGGCTTCTATTCACCGGTTTACTTTGGATCAAAGTCCAAGTCCCTTTCGTGAGATGTCGATGCTGGACCACAAAGAAACTGAAATTACGGGTGACAGAAGACATCAGTAGCACCACAATATTGTTGAAGGAGCTTGAATGATTTTGTCACCTACTGTATGAACCGGGAGATTCCAGAGAGCGAGAAGTGCAGGACCAGTATCATCAACTAGCACTCCATCTGCGAGACCCTTCATTCAGCTTTTTTGGTATTGGTATTTCTGATCATATAATCCAAGTAGGAATGAAAAATATACTTACAAAAAATGGCACGATGATATATGAAATGGATATTGACCTTCTTCATCATCTACAGCTAACTCCACACTCTTAACACATTCTCATCTCAAATATATACCATTTTTTGTCTTCAAATAGCTGGGTGGAGGATATAGTTTCCCTACTCCTCTAGCTCATTTTGACCCAACTTCTCATGCAGACATGAACTACGCTTCCATATTCGAAGAACATGCGGCTCATACTCCAGCAGCCATGCCAACAATGCGAACACCAGGAACATACTTAAGGACTGATTCCGTTGTAGTGCCTGGAGGACAGATAGCTCACTTTAAAGATATCATGGAGCATTCTTCAGTCCGGACAACTGAGTTCACACCAATACAGGGTACGATGGTCAGAATATCGTCACAGGAGTCGTCGCTTCCGCCATCGGCACAGCTTACTAGGCTTCAGAATTCTCAGGTCAGTTCGGAATCCTGTGGTGAGACTCAGCAGGTTTTTCCAGACATGCATGTGCTTATAACTTGCCGATGCCACAATATGAATACTGTGCAGGGAGAAGCTGTGAGGGAGAATAGTTTTCCTCCCTTGGGGGCGATGAACGCTCTCATGAAAACTGCATCAGACAACTCATACGAGGGCATGACTCATGCACAGGAGATACTCTGCAGGCCGAAGCCTGTTTTATCAGGCCCATCCTTCGCTAAGGTGGGAAGTCGTTGGAGACTAAATTCTTCTCCCATTCCAGTCTCTCCGAGCCCTTCTGACTTGGCCTCGAGCTTGAACATGGACAACACTAAAATAGATATTCCGCCAAAAAAGAGGACTGCGTCGAGACGGTCAAAATTTGACCCTCCATACGTCTACAAGTGCGTCAAAGGGAAACTTAGACGCGAGGAAACGGCCGAAAACTATAAAATTTTGAAATCCCTGATTCCGCGACCCATCAAAGTATGCTCCTTTACTATTCCTCATTTGACTTGTGCTTTGGACTTTTAATCTGTCTCTGGTCTTGTAGATTTTTAAATTCTTCTGGTGTGACTTAAATTATAAGGTCTGTGAACCCTCTTCACTTTACTGGTGGTTACATTTTCTGAGTAAGATATTTGAGCCTCAATGTACTTTCAGGTATGGAGTCGCGTAGTTTTAGTTGCACATAGGTAAGGAGCATTTATTCCAGGAAAAGGTACAATTCAGGAAGAAGTCAATCTTTAATTAATTTACTCGTGATCTGGCTGTCAAAGTCGAATATCAGTTATGTGCATACTTTTCGAGTACTGAAACAGCCACAGTTTTGAAACATCTGTAACACTTCCAGCTGTCACGTGCTTGGACAACAACAACTGACCAGATGGTTTCAGCATTAGATCGTACTCACTTGCGCTGTAGGTTCAAAGCTGACCATATGTGAGATTTTTTAAGCATTAAGATGTAGTCTGTAGAGGCACATATCATGCGCATCTCATTTTTTTTTCATGCACAGCGTTGTAAGTGTCCTCCAATCTCAGTTTAACACGCATCTTTAGATTCAACAATAACTTCGTATGTTCACGAGTCTCAAACGTACAGAAGGCTTGCATATTTATAACTCGCTACCCTCGAAAGATCCGACAATCTCTTCACAAGTTTCTCATTCACAAGAGCGCCCGGTCGAGCTCCATGAGTTCAATCATGATTCAATCCAGACTCCATACTTCTTTAATATAAATGAGTGACTTGATGTTTAACGATATCGAGGTGTTGTGTATCATCTCTCTAGACTTGAAGTGGTCTCACAGCTCATATATCCTGAGGGCAATACTGTTCGCCAATCAGCTCTCTTGTAAGCTTATATCAAGAGTATAGCCTGTCGGTCTTGGGTCCGAGATTCTCACTCATGGAGTCCCAGAATGACGACTGTTCAACTGTGAACGAAGAGATTCTGTTTTTCATGCAGGCAGATCGAGCGTCCATTTTGGAGGAGACCATAGCTCACGTGAAGAATTTGGGAGATCAGAAAGCAAGTCTCGAGAAAATAAAGCACGAAAAATTGAAGGAACTGTGTCAGCAGAGAGCGGAAAAGGGACAGTGTCAGGAATGGGAGATGAGTGGAGAGGCGAACTGTCTATGGATGAAGAGAACTTCTCGTGGAGGGACACAAGTGGATATCCGCATAGTTCAGAACGAGATCAGCGTCAGCGTAGTTCAGAAGCATCTGCCGAGGTTTCTCCTGCGCATGGTGACGGCTCTAGAATCAAAGCTCAAACTTGAAATTCTCAACGTCACAGGTCATGTCATTGACGATTTTGACGTTTACAACTTCAGAGTTGAGGTGAGATCTACTCCTTAAATTTCAGCCAAATTTTCTTTCTGTTCCACTCACTAAAAGAGTCGTAATCTGGGCCCGCTGACCTTCAAACAAATTGAACGATTCTACATACCATAGTTGGGAATTGAGCTTTGGCTGGTCTCATTTCACGTGTTACTCAAATCTAGGCCTAATCGATCAAAATATGGAGTTCATATCAATCTTGTTGCTCTCATGATGACCTTTGCTTATTCCTTCCCTTATTTCTTGAGGTTCGTAGAGATCTTATTCCATTTCTTTTCTCTCACTTGGTCCTTTGTCTCTTAACTACAGATCAAAGGCAGTTCATGCCCTCAAGCAAATGAGATTATGGCAAATATCATGGAGACCTTGGATTCAGTGTTTCTGAACCACGGCTGATTTTCACCAGAATTATGCGGTTGTCATAATCTTATCAGTCAGAAGCTATCAGCTGAAATGGAACTGCAGCTGATATTCCATTGCAGCAAACCTTAATATGGACTCGGATAGGTCACAAGATCTTTGGCATTTTCATATAACTAGAGTTTGAAATGTTTTCATGAAACATGTACGTAGTAATATGTTGAGAATTGGACAGAAAACCACAAGAAAACATATATTGATAGCTTGACAGGGTTATCCTTCATGTGATGTTTACACACATTCACTATTTTACAATGTTGGGCATCAACTTGCTACTAAGATGTATAGTTAATCTTGGACATTATACGAGGAACTTCAGTTTGCATGTGAATCCTTGTTTAATTTGCAAGATAGATTGTCCTATTTAATATTCAGTACGGAGAATACGTCAAGAGAATACAAGCTAGTATTCAGTTTGCCTGTTGACAGAAAGAACAAATAGTTATAACATTGACATGTACATGGTTACATCTATACGAATTAATACGCAAATGAACATCATGCTGAATAACAATCACCAATTCTCCATTGGTGATCAATTCATCTGTATTCCCTCTGATGACACGCGTAGATGGGAACGTTTTATTATATTACTTTGTTATATTCGTTTCGGGATCTTCATTTAAAAAAATAATTTGACAACAAAAACGATAAATTATGTTTAAATTTAACGACCCTCCGTGATATGAATGATATATGGTCAAAGACTATATGACCTTTTAAAAAATGTAGATATCATTCTCAAAGCTAACTTAAACTATTAAAATTGAACAGGATATATATCAGAATATACATATATTGGAACATCCTGTTCATAAGTCTTGATATCCAGACGAGATGATGTATAAATTTATAACTCAGCTAAATTCGAAGAGGCAATTAGAGAAATTATATGAATGGACCACTCAAGGTCGTGTCCACACTTATCACTACTTTTGAAATAACGTATGCGTTCCTGTCAAGCTATATATTGACAAGTCCATGAATAGAATTGAACACTGCCAGATGGACAGACAAGGCGAACCGTCAGAAAAGTTATGTGCGCAACAACCTGCAGCTGAAACGTTGGTCAAACGAAATTCAACAAGCCAAACCAAATTGTCGTGGAACAAAAGCTGCGCCGCCAGTAGCTAAGAACAGTTTGGACCAATGTTACAGCTGCAAATGACATCTCGAAGGAGGTCAACCGAAGAAAGAAAGCACTGAATTCGGGTGTCCGGCGTTGCCGCAGCCTCCAAATTTCTCAAGCATGCATAGTCTTTTCAGTGCTACGAAAACCTTGCACAAATCTCCCACCATAGTTTCCAGCACCACGGCCAAAAGCGTTCGGGGTGAGAATGGAGATTCCGGGCCTCTCTACATGGTCGTTACATTCTCTGGACCCCGGGTTGTAACTGTAATTCTATTACAGTTACAAGATCTTTACTGTCAGATCGATGAAAGCAAGCAACATTAATTGCAAAACAGCGTGCCATTAAGATGAATGCTGCTTACTGAGGTTCTTGGAAGAGATCTGATTCTATGTGTCGTCGTCGAAATTAATTTTCAGATAGACTTTGTACTACAAAATCAGTCATGTACGTCTAAATCACACTCATCTATGACATAACAGCTGTCATCGACAGACAGGACTTAATTTAATGCAGGGCCATCATGATATTGGAGGTCTAAGTTGACCTCATGCAGATTTACATCTAATATCGAGTGCGAAGGGTGTAGACAGCCTGCTCCCAAGGTACCCTTACATCATTCACTGCAAATCAAGTTGGAAAAGACAAACCAGAAATTTCTAGCTATTCACTGCAGACCACTCTGAGCTTCTTCTTGAACCATGTGACACTTCGATTTTCGGTGTAGCGAAACTGCAATCGAGTGCTTCGGAATATTGTGGACTTTAACCTCTAATAATTCATTATAACTAACAAGTGCAGAGCTTTAAGACTATATTTGGCAAGGATTTCGAGGTTCTACGTAGTCCAGAAAATGCCACGTAGTGCATTGACTTTGTTCCCAGGTCAAATTTGATGTGGTTCACCTGTGTAAATATACGCTTGATATCGAGAATTATCGTGTTGAAGGCATTCTCTAATCTTCGTTGAGGTCTCGATTAGTTGACAACAGAGGCAATCCAGGTCTTGATTCTTGATCTTAATAAACCTTGGCACAAGCTGGTAAACCATGGAGCCTGGTGCAGATGACACCATCCAATCCATCCATGCAGAAGAAATTGCGTTTTTGATGCAGGGAGATGGAGCGTCCGTTTTGGAAGAGACTATCGCTCACGTGCAATTTTTACAATATCAGAAGATACAGCTGGAGAAAGTGAAACAAGAAAAGTTGTTGAAGCTCAAGCATCAGAAAAATGAAACGGCTGAGGTCCAGGCATCAGAGCAAAGCGGAGAAGTGAACTTTCAATGGCTGAAGAAGACCTCCAGTCATGGCACAGAAGTTGACATGCGCATACTTCAGGATGAGATCCATGTCAGTATAGTTCAGCAACATCTGCCGAGGTTCCTACTGCGCATGGTGACAGTTCTTGAAACAAAGCTGAAACTTGATATCATGAACGCCACCGGGAGCGTCATCGATGGTTTTGACGTCTACAGTTTCAAAGTTAAAGTGAGATTCTCTTTCCTTAGTTCAACTAGGATCGTGCTCCTCTCTACTCTTGTTCGGGACCTTCGAATTTATCTTTAATCACTTCACCCGATCCACCTCACATACCGGACCCTATTTACCTGCATCTTTCTTCCTCTTGGAGAGTCTTGAATTTTTTCGACCTTGTTTCCATCAGGTGACACTTACAGATCGAAAGAAGTCTTGGTAACTTTTATTGCATCTATATAGGAAGTGGAGTCAAAAAGGGGATAATCTTCCGTGTTAGAATTGCAGGGATAATGATATTTCTAACAATGCATTACAATGCTGCAGATAAAGGGAAATTCATGTGCTAAGGCGAGCGAAATAATGAACAAGATCTTGGATAACGTGGACTCGGTGTTTTGAAGACGAAGAGTTGACGTGCTCTTATAGTAATTTTTAGTTGGGAAATACAGCATCAGCAGCATTCGCTTTCTCTGCATCAAACGTAGCTGTGATGTCCTAAACTGATAACTTAGAGATCGCAGTTGTCAACTAGCTGTGTGTTTAGACATGTTCCTGCGGATTTTCAGGTTCAAGGTGAAAGACTTATAGCGCTACTAGTTAGATTTTCACTCATCTACTTTCACTTTTCCATGAAATGCATGCTCTAAGAACGACACCAAATTGCTAAACACACCTGTCCAGATAGGGGATTTTTTATTTTAGCTCCATAACGTTACTGGCGTTTTGACCAGGTGTACTAGTCGAAACAGGAGAAATATAATCTGATGATGATACGTAGTTCAGTTAATCATGCCAACAACCAAAGATTTTATTGACAAGTTATTTTTTGCGCTGTCAGTCTGAGCTTTAGGAGTTGCAAGAGAGTCCACTTTTTTATATCCATGATATTTGCAGATCAAGCGACAGTGGCTGTGAGGGAGGCTCGAGTTGCCAAAGCCCAGGAAGCTCTTAACTAAATGTTTTGTTTGTGGAGTATACATAAGGGAGACGCTTTCATAGCACCTAAGATTTTGAGCGTATTCTTCATTCCTGAAGAATTAGAACTCGAGGGAGACGGCTAAATTTGTGATAAAAACATTACCTCACTTACAGCAGTTTCTTCAAGTCATGTCCAGCGTATCTGGTGAAAAGTCTGTGTCTATCTAGTGGACTTGATATACAAATTTTCCTTTTACCATAAATTTTAGAGTTCAAGATCATCAATGTATTAAGTATTGGGTGTCATTTCAGGTCGAGCTAAGTGTCCTCTGCTGAATTATCTGCAAATCTCATATCATCCACTTATCCAAATCTGTATCATTCATTTAAAAAATGAATGATACAGATTCTGTGCTTTGGCCCTTCATGTTCGTACCTTCCATATTCGTTTCGTTTTCCTATCATGTCAGGCCGATCCTTCTGTCTAGCAAATATGAAGATTGCAGATGGTGCATTGCCCTCTTTATGAACCTTCTTAATATTCAGAAAAGGTTTCCGACGTTGCAACACTTTCGGCTGAGATTCGTAAAATAAATAGCTCCTGGCCAGCCACATCTCAACTAATTGTTAAGTACAGCATGCACAAATTTGGTACAGTCGCTGCATGGTGACACTGGATTTCTTCAGCGGTTCCTGGAACGCAAGTTTCTCAATCTTGGTTCTGAACACAAGGCATATGTGCAATAGCATGTCTGTTGAATTCAGCTTCTGCGCAGTGCCATGCGGATAAAACTCAGCCGAAGACAGATGTTCAGTATTAGCTTCACAATCTAATTTCATGATTATTAGTATTCATTACATAATTACCTACTCGTTTAGGTAACAACGCTGTTCCAGTAACACCACGAATTACGGCTCTTGACGTGACAGCTCAATTTCACTATTAGCTAATTGTTTACATGTGTAAGTATGTACATAATAGGAATAAATTTCTTCAACTTGTTAGCATTATGCTGAGGATTATGCGGAAAACTTCAGACCGTTTTGTTTACATCAAATATTGTAAATCAGCACTGTGGATACAAATATGACATATTCTAATAACTTCATAATTGCGTACGTGACTGTGGATAAAATGTTACATACTCATAATTCAATCAAGATTATAAAACAAAAAAAGCTCCAACTTTTAGAACTATAGAAATAGTAGATTATATATATATATAGAGAAACATCTACGGTGTCTTCAAGATCAAACACCTGAATGAGCATAGTAAATCTACAATTATATCATTTCTCTTACTTGATAAATAAGTTCTAATATATCTTCTTGTTATAGATACTTGTCATATATATAGCGACCTGTTGACATGAATGATTTGGAAGATTTATTCATGTTCTAGATCGAATGGGAATTAGAAATGTAAATTCTAATGCAACTATGATCAAACGTTGTGTGTGTTACAATATTTTCAAATAAGGTTTTTTTTTCAAATCAAATGTTTTATATTTTTTGGCATTATAATAAATATAAATCAACACCTTCATACAAATTTTAGTAGAATCGAAAATTTCCACCACATCTAGAGGATGTTTGGCTTGAACATGTTCAAGGTCAGATTAATAGCAATATACTTAAAGTCATTTGACAGTGTTAAAAACGTCATATATATAAAACCAAAACCGTTTCTTAAGATCATCTCAAATCGCAAGGAAGAAGTTCGTATTATACAGTTTATCAACAAGGGGCTTGGAGCCAGATTGCTGATGTGAAGATTGAAGAGTTATTGTTAATATGTTTAAATAATATTTATCCTTACAATACTTTGCAAATTGATAAATTTGAATCGAGTATCGACTTGGTTAAAATCCAGGGTGTTAAATCAAATTTGATTATATTTATAAGACAAGATGAGAGATGAAGGGCAAACTCATTATTTCACTAGTGCTTAGCCTGAAAAGCCGATATATCTTACACCTCGCAATCTCCTTCAAGATATATGTTTACCAACCGCATCCAGATCCAAAATACATAGTCGGGAAACCTATAGCCCACGATACTTGGCTGCGGATATTTCATAAGTGATTTTCAATTTTACCCGCTTGCAATTCACAGCAATGACTTTTGAAGCGGGCTTCCCGCAGTCTGGCCTCATACAGTACAACAGACTCCTGTCCCTAGTAATATTGGTTTTCATCAATCAAAATCAATATGGACGGTGTTTGATCATTCAGGATAACATGCGCTCAATATTCATCCATCGATTGGTATTTCTAGGGCATATACAACTTATTTCTAGGTTGAAATTTTGTTAACGGATCAGACAGTGATCACATGAACACCAAAATCCGTTAACAAGGAATGACTGACGTTCTTCACGACGAGATCAATCAGATGAGGCGTACATCATATGTGCATGAGCCTGTTCTGAATCTCGTGTTATTACACCAGTGTGTCACTCAGTCATCATGATCTGGCCATCTATGCTGAAAGCAATAATGCTAGATATCCAACGTGCATAATAATAACAACTTTTAATGCATAATAAATGTTCTTACCGCAGACAATATTATTGACATGATCTATCGTCTCTTGGATGCATACACGCATCAAAGACACGATAGATCATGGTAAGAAAATTTTAAAAAGCCATTGCCATCAGGTGAAATCTCTCCAAAGAGTCATGGGAACAAACATACGATACATATGGATGTGTGTAGCTATTATCAACGAGCTGACCACCACACATGAGGAGAGCTCAAGATGTCTGAAATTTGTTGAAGATTGATGACGATACCCAAATAAGAAGTTTGATAAGAAGTATGTAAACCAGTATTGACATACTGATTGAAACTGTGATCGCTGAGACCCACTAGACTCGGCGATAGAAAAAAAATATTTTGCTTTTCAATAATAGCAGACCTTTGATGAAAACGGCAAACCAATTGAAGTGTGATTGAAAGCGAGTTTCAAAAGTCTCAAGGTTTTTAATGGTTATGCAGCACGATGTCAAAGCGCCGTGGAAAGAGCCCCCAACTAGTCGTTAGGGAGGAAAAGTAATAGCTGCGCAACGATGTTTTCCACAATTTTCAATTCCAATTTGAGTATGTGGATGAAATATGAGGATATCGCCACTATTGGTTTAGATCCGCCCCGGAGGACAGGAAGCCTTAACCTCATGGTGTGTGAATGGCCGAAGCCAATTCCCGTCCTTGTCAAGGGGGTTGATAACCTTCTCTCGGCTCAACGAACACATGAGTTTTTTTTGTCAAAACAGATATCATGTCTTCACAAAATCGCGTTTTTTCTTCTTTGCTAGTTTTTTTGTATCTTTCCAAACGTGCTGACTACTATTGTGGTTTTCCTAATTTTTTCTTGCAGACAGGGACCAAGTATTACTGGGTGTTCACTGTCTGCTCGAGTTTGGAACCTATCTGTTATGCGAATTTGAAGCGAAGTAACCACAGACTTTGCGTCATGACCTGTGATTAACAAGGGAATATCCAGCCAAACTCCAGACCATGAGGGAGCACGAGTGGTGTTTTACGCGACGTACTACATCGATCTCAATGACACGTCTGTGGAGTGTTTCTGGAAAGAACAATCACATTTTATTTTCGGAGTCTAGAAAACCTTTAAATTAAAGGTTTACTAGACTACATGTGGCGGTTACGAATAAAATGCCACATTTTGGGAAGCCTGCAATAGAATCAAGTTCCGCCCTCCTGCTCTTGACTTTGATCTCTTTTTCAACAGTACAGGAAGGCGTATCTTCCACAGACTTCTTGATCGTTAGTCTCGCAACTCTGGATTCTAACGCATAAGATTGAGGTGCATGCTTCTAACGCATAATTCTGGAATTTGATCTATCCCCAAGGTTTCTGCTAACAACATGTACAACCTCATCACTAGAATAAGAAATCGTTATAAAGTTCAGCCGCCGGTGTCACCTGAGGCATACTTGTTCTATTTTTTCTCCACTTCCATTCTAAATATTCCACTGTACAATAATTTTTTTCATCTTAAATTCACACTTTATTGGCAATTACAGCACAAAGATTTTTTTAAACATTAGAACTAAAACCTTCGGCTACTTTGTTCGAACAATATGAAAGTAATATAGTAGGATTTTAACCTTATATAGTAAGTATAATTGGACATGTGTTTATTCTTATATATCACTTTTCATATACCTAGAACTTGAAAGCTTCTACAAAGAAACAAAATCTAAACTTTTAGCATAGAACTTTTTCTTGAATCAGGCCCACCCACCTTCTGAATGTTAAATTAAAGTAAATATTTTATTGTTCTCAAGAAGATTCGAAACTAAATGGCATAGATGCTTCGGCTATGATTAAAAAAAAAGACAATGTCCTGAGATGTATCATGTAATAAACTTGAAAGAATTTACAATTAGAGATTTACCGTGCATTGAAAAAAGATTCTAACTAAATTTATTGAATCTGGAAAAGTAATAATTCCAATAAACTACCACATAGTATTTGTGCAACCTCTTACTGTATTATCAATATATCCAAGATTAATTCTTTTGTCGATTAGAGAACATCATAAACAAATGTTTTCAAGTTTTCTTAAGTACTTGTATATTTCTCATACGATTGCTATTTCTTGTGCAGATAATTTTTCCTAATAGACTCTACGATTAGAGTATTAAGAAAAGGAACGCTTCTTGTAACATCTGATCTAGTTCCAGGCTGTCTATCTAGTAACTTGTCTAACCAAGTTGATAAGCTGAGTCAGGTACGTGATGAGGGTTGCAAGATGGTACTAAGCAGATTTCTTCAAGTTGCAAATGCGATCCGTTAAGATGGGAATATTTCAAGTGGACGTCTTCCTGCCAGAGGTGAGCAAACATTTAGATAGCTGATTTGAAGAAAGTTTCTTCAACATGTCTCACTTGAGTGCCGTGCAACCTTAGAGAGTTCCGGCTCTCGGATTCTGAGATGCATATGAACATGTGGCTGAAAACACTGAAGGAGATGGTGATCTTTGGTTGTTGTGTAACTGAACCAATCAGCTATGATCCAATTGAGAATTAATCCGAAAATACAACACAGTACGACAGACTGGGAGGCAATCGCTTTGTCTTGAAGTTCCTGAACAAATGGACCATAAGAATGCAGTTGCATGGGACTTGACATGAGAATTGACGACATAAGAATGAATTGTACCACCACCACAGTTATGAGCAGATATATGAAAGCTAGTCCCACTTGTGGCTGAAACACAATTGTGCTTCAAGGAGTCAAGGAGTCTTCACCGTCAGTTATATAACCAGGGTCGAACATCAATGATCGGTTATTATTAAGGAGTCCCAAAGTCTTGGAAGTCTTAGAAATCAGCTTTCTTGTAGCAGAAGTAGTAAAAGGTGTGAAGAAGCAGTTTGTGAGTGTGGGAGACCACCACTGCAGCCGAAAGTTCTCCTCCAGATCAAAGACTTCGATCACCATCTTTAAGCATCTGAATAAGAACCCTAGTCAACACTGTCTGGCCTCAGCACTGCAATGGCTCACAACATTCCAATGGACCTGAGGATGGCAAGATCGCTGCTTGAGTTCAAAAAACGGGATGACGAGTTCGAGGAGAATGTAATAGAAAACATCCTGTCCAGGATTCCGTTCCCGTACATTTTTAAGACTTGTATCCTATCCCGGCACTGGTTCTCCAAATTCCACCTTGCCGCTCGATTCCGTACTTCTTTCCACGAGAAAATCATCCGCTTCAGCCACACCTGGCGATCCTACTGTCCTGCTTTTGTCAGAATTGTAAAGGAGCCTTCTAGCATTGTTCCGACTCCTACGGGGAAAGTTCGAGACTCGAGGTACGAGGTGGTGTGTTTTGATAAACTGCTCAACGGCTGGAAGATTTTCCCGAGATTGGATGTGCCGATATCTATTAGAAACAAGGCACAAGGTTGCAATTATTACCTGTCCGTAGGGGGCTGTTTACTGGCCTTCAGTTTTAAGCAATCTGAATCGCAAGAAATCAAAATCCTTATAGTCAACTGGCTGACAGGATGTTGGAGGCACATGCTAACTCCTGAACTTCTAGGGGCGCCAGGCTCCGGATTAAGTTGTGGAGGAGACTGGGACGTGCTCATACTTCCATTCGGGCCCTCCAGCTACAAACTCGTGGTGAACAACATTGTCATAGAAGCGAATGATCAATGCAATTTGGTTTATTTGTCGGATCATATTTATGACTCTCAGACGAAGATGTGGATAAACCCTCGAACTCCAGTAAGCAATTCCATGGCAGAGTGCTTCCACCTCTCCCCTTACAGTGCATGTCTGGGCAATCTTCTGTTTCGGCTGTGGATACCACTCGAGGCCACAAGAATAGAGACCAAGAACAGCATTATAATCATGGAAACAGATGTCGTCCAAGGAGTCAGTTTTGAAACAATTTTTCCCGGACAGCGACGCAAACCGACTTTATTTGGCGGTCTGTTCCATTGTGCTTCAGCTGTGTACATGGTGCTAACAGAAGCTCAGGACCAGGGACCCGGCTCGAGTGTGTGCGAGCCACCTCCAAAGGGTCGCAGGGCTCGCGATCCTCCTTTAGATCTGGATTACATACGATCTAAGCTTGCTGCTGCCAATCCGAGCTTCGAGGATGCACGAGCCGGGCTAGCTGCAATATCTTCTGCTAATGCCGTTCGGGCTCAAATTTTTATATATCGACCGGACATATCTGAAGTCTTCCCGATTTCAGAGAGTCCGCCACATATAACCTTATACAAAGAGACAACAATGGCAGCGGATGGAGAGAGTATATTTTTTATCGGGCCTCGCGTGCAAGGGCATGAAGTCTCCGGGTCAAAGATCATAACGAGAAGATTTTTGTCCAGTTTCAGAGTTGACGATCCTCAAGGAGGCTGGAGCATTCATCCTCCTTTCCCTGAATTGCGTCGACCATCCAGTCCGGAGGGCCCAAATTTTACTCGTTGGGAACGATTTTTCTCCTTTCATCCGGGCCAGAACCCGTTTGTGATGCCTTGATAGGTAAGCCAGAAATATGACTCTGTCAAACGTGGGATTCTGCTCGCAAGGCGGTCAGGGGTGGGGCACCATTCTTGATGTTGATTCTAGATTCAGTCAAATGTCACCTTCTACGTAGTATCTTTTCGATCTTTCAGATTTGCAAAGTATGCCTTTCTAGCTAGGCTGTACGACCTTGAGATTGACAGCCAGCATTTACCTTAATTTAATACATGTTATTCTCTTGCAGTAGAGTTGGTCTGTCTACTTCAACATTTTTCTAGGCACAAGAAAAATCAAATTCTTTAAGACTATCCCGTACGTTTTCCGTTTGTATTTCACCACCATTCTCGTCTACATGCAGGAAACTTTTACTGCACTTGACTGTAAAGGGTTGCAGATTTTCAGAATGCACAATTTCAACACAGCTTATACAACTGCATGGAGGCGTATTGAAATCATTGATTCATAGAGATGTGACAAACAACTCTTTGAGGTTTTTGTCAGATAGTTATATGTTATAGTTTGTCAGATGCTTGTATATACCATTCATGAGAAAATCGCGTAGTGGCTCAAGTTGTAATAAGAGTTGTAACCAGAGAGCTCTAAGTTGCCACAGAAACCAGAGAGCAAGAATTTCGTTTGAACTTTTGATCGTGAACGATCCCGTTTCCGAAGAGATTTTCAAACAATTATCTTCTCGATCAGTAAAACTACATGATGTTCCTCAGCTCCAAATTCGATATTCATCGTCTTGAGAAAAATACTAGAAGTTCTTATCACTAATATGAAGTCCCCATGAACTTTAACTCATATGATCATATGAATTTGAGAAAAGAAGATGACTGTCGCAGCTCGTAATCAAATGGTTGCTCGCTAGTTTTTGATGTTCCACTTTCTCTTTTAGGTGACTACGAGTATTTAGACCCAAAAGAGATCTGTACCATCATTAAGATGTACAGATTTATTCGAAGAAGGTGAATACTTCAGAACTCGATCTCCTTTTGTGCCTTATCTGAAACATTTGTCTTTCAATAATCATATGCAATAAACAATGCCACCTGGATTTTGAACTAAGTGAGTTTATATTAGAATCTGTAGAAATATAATGTGAGGATGATTCATCAGCTGAAGGGACGTGATGGATACGAACAATCTCATCGATTCTGGAAGCATGCGAAACACTTGTCTAATTTCACCTGTAATACGTCGTAGAAGCGTTTGCCTCCCATCCACCACCTTCAGAAGATCGCCATCCAGGAGACTCGATTTTTCTCCATAAGACGTGAACCACAAGCAATGTTTCATCTTCATGAACAAGTCGGTAGTGCAGTCTGATGGAACCTTTGCGATGCTGTAATTGGAGAGAACGTAGTGTGAACTCGGGGCTTCTTCGGTGCTGTTATCGGGTTTACATTAACTTGTGTCCTGAAAATCGAGACAGCTTCATACTTTCTCTGGGTTTTGCGGTAGGTGATAATTGGGGGAATGTACCGATCCTTGATCCTAGGCGTCTTAAGTACTCTCTTCCTTTTGGAGCAGAGTAAACATAATCCGGTGTAAAATACATAAATGGTAGGTATGTTCTTGTGAATTAGTAGATCTGTCAAGTACGATCTGTCTTTGGTAGTGGCAGATTAATGTGTAAATTATAGGGTGCTCAGGGAGCTGCCTCAGTAAAACGGATGTTTTGCTCACGCGTTTTGTAAATTGGAGCTGGGCTGTACAGCAGAGAGAAATCGAAGTTTTTAAACTCCAAGTGGCATGCGAGTTATGTCCTTTATTTATTCTCGTCAAGTCGAGTCGCGTTGATCGCTGTGTGGATTCTCGAGAAAGTGGAACTGTACTCGGTCCGTATGTCTTTAGTGTGACCGACGGTGGAGGGTCTCTCGCTTCCACCGGAGGCAGTGTGCCATCGAGTTTGGACCGTCGTCACCGAGCCTGGCCTTCGCGGGAGCTCGGATCCAGTCCTGTATTTGCCTTGACTGCTGCCGAAGGCCAAAGAGAGAACACTGTCTTGCCAGTGAATAGAGTTCGCTACCAACGTTTTACTTGTCAATCTGGCGATGAATTGACATTGTTTCCGTAAAGGAGATGGACTGACAAAAAATTTGCTTGGCGGTATTATGGTGAGGTTCTTTATCGTCATTGTTCATGAACTTCCGAAATTGGGAAGGTACTCTATCAAGAAATTCATATAATATTGCAAACATTTGAAAAAGGTTATTTTCATTTTTACTACAGAAACTTTGACTGAATGCGATAGTTCAGAATGTGATATGACTTGCGATATGTAAATAAAACTCAAAAACCTACTCATCTTCAAAGTCTAAGCATCAGATTCTTATCAGATATGATGCACTTTGATGCAAGACGATTGGTAACGAAGATAGAGGTCATTCATTCTGCTTTTTGTGTGATGTGGTGAAAAGAAGCAGATTGGTTGTTAAGAAAAGGACGTTGAGCCAAATGTTCTGAAGTGCTATATAGATTATTTATTTATTTATTATCTATTAATAATAATAGATAATTGACTCGAGTTCGAGAAAAGATTCTCAAAATTGCTCGTACACTACAACTTTGAAAAAATAAATAATATTATGTGGAAGCCTAAAAATGATATTCATGTTCGAATATTTAAAAATGACAAATAAAATTAATAAAAATTCTTCGGACGCTAAATACTTATAACATACAGATCTACAACTTTGAAGTAGATGTTATTATCAGAAATGCAGAATCTGTATGATACTAATACAATCATTTTCAAAATATAGTTATTTGTTTCAATTGATCTTTAAATTTTTGGCGTACTTGTCTAGTTACATGAACATAAGACTTTCCACCGTGATAGTGATCTTCTTAATAGTAGGAATACATTAAGTTGAGCGTGATAGGGCCTGAAGAAAATCATTCACTTAATATCTAACCTTGATTTTGAATGCTCCTGCTGTAATGTTTTTCAACTTTCTCTCGTAGTTTACTTTCCTCGAACAATGTGTCAAGTTTTGTAGCTATTGAGGGACAAGGACTACATACTTCCTTTTTGGATTTACCTGCTTGTTGCTTGTTGGATTATGGCACAAAGCTTTCAACTGCGTAAGAGCGGGTTGATGCAAAAAGTCACACCTATCCTTCAGTTTAACCCCTCGTCTAGGGTCAAAGTCTTCGATTTCCTTGGCTTTTTTTCCAGGACACCCGTGGACTTCAAAGGGATTTACTGTCCAACCTGCTGGATGCTTCACAGGAACGAAGGTGAAAGGAATGTCATTGCACTAAACCCGTCGAACATAAGTCGCCCAATAAGACTTGGGGGCCGACAATCGATTGATTCCAATATTTAACGATTGGCCAAGGACCGGAAGCATGTACAATTCGTACGCATGCAGTAAGGTCGTTACCATGAACGTCCACACATTGCCGCAAGATTCCTCATAAAAGTAGCGGCAATAACTCATATAGAATGTTTTATAGATATTTATGTTCTTCCATTGCTTTGTGCGAACTTTACAATACTAGAGGAATCATGTTCGTGTATGTAGCCCTCCTTTCACGAGTCAGAGGGGGCTCATCTTTCGACACACGCGCAATGGAAAAGGGAGAAGTCCTCAAATAAGAATCTGCTCTGCTTTCCAATTGAATATAAAAGAAGTAAAGCATAATCAATCCAATGACACTCTATGGATCCTCTACTGAACGTAGATTTGGTCCTTAGGGACCTTCAATATGACTGGGTAAAAATTCCTCTGCTATATACACTCATCAATTAACTCCGCTCAAAAAATCTCTTAAAAAATTGATAGACCCCTTTCTCTCGTGGATCTGATTGTCGAGAACGTCTACAATCCTGGTATGCTACAAATATTTACAAAGTTCTGGGCTGCGGGGACTGACTCTCTGCCTGCTATTAGCTCTGCAGCTTTCTGGGCGAGGCTTCTGAATCAATGCCGGGATCCAACTTCTGCTTGAAATCGGCTAATCTTTCGTACAAGGGTCTGAGTCTCAGAGTCAAGATGACGTCGACGACAAATCCAAGCGCTAAAACTACAGACATGCTTATGAATAGAAGCTCAAAGCAGTGTGAGCCGTAACATTCTGTTTCACCGACAGCCGTGAACCTGGTGGAACTCAGCAAATCTCCCCAAATCACATTCTGCTTCGAAAGCGGCAAAGAATCGCTGTCGCTCATGTCGGGCCAGTCCGAATCGGCCGTTCGCCGTGATTCGAAATCGTATATGTATCCTGCCAGGTAAGAGAAGAGGAACGAACCCAGTGACATGTCGAGATTCAAGACATTGTATATAACTCCGAAACTCTTCAGTCCGAACATCTCCGAGGCGACTGGAACCATGATCGTCACATGGAAGCCGAAGCAGCATCCGACGATTATAGACCCGATGTGCAAAGCCCCCGGAACAGGAAATGCCAGAATCAAGTATCCGACTATCATGAGGACTTTGGAGGCAGCCATCCACGCCGTCCTTGGAATTCCTCTGGACCTGGAATGCGAGAAAAAAAATCGTCATGAGAAGGCGTTTGGACAGATAGAGATCGGAAAGGATCCAGCAAACAGAAAGGATCGAGGCTTCTGACTCGGTGATGAGTTACTGAGTTTGTGAGCTCACCTGTAATAATACTCCGAAAGAGTGCCAGAGATGAGCCGGCCGAAGAAACCGAATATACTTATCAACGAGACGAACATCGTCACGTCGCTGTACCCGAGGGATCCTCCGATCTGAGCGACGTTGTTGATGGTGGCCATGCCTGCGCCGACTCCCGTGAAGAATCCGAGAAAGAGAAGCCAGAAATCGAGCGACATCGAAGCTTGCCAGAAGGAGTAGTTGTCGCCCAACTGCTTGCCCCGGCAGTGCGAGGTCTCTTCCTCCTCGTCGTCCGCGCATCTCTTCTGGTCCACGACGAGATCTTGATTGACATGCTGAGCTTCGGCTGCTGCGGTCACGAATTTGTGCAACAGTGGCTCCGTTGTGTCATCGGTGGGCTCTGGGGACCTGTAGAAGCTCGTTCGCTTCTTTTCAGTTTTCCGCAGTCGGAACCAGTTGTGCACGAAGAGCTTCGCCGGGACGATGATGGGAGAGAGGATGAACACCATCAGAATCCAAGCTAAGCCCTGCTTGACGGAAGGGGAGAGATTTTCTGCCGACAGGGTGTAGCCCAGCAGGTAGACGGCGATGGCGACGGCGGCGATGTTGAGGGAGTTGAAGCACGACTGCTCCTCCAGATCTTCTTCGGGACCCGTGGAGACGGGGACCTCGCGCAGAAAGATTGCACCGATCATGCAAGTGAACAGCGGGACGAAAGCCAGAAGGAGAACGAATGCGGAGCTGGACCCGGTGAAGAGAGACGAGCAAATGACCGTGAAGATGGCTGTGCTCAGGCCCACGAAGCCCTTGAGAATGCCAGTCACCGGGCCCCTGCTCTGAGGAAAGTTGCGCAGACATGTCGTCAGGCACGCCGTGTTCATCCATGTGCTGCTGTTGCCTCCCAAGAACATCACTATGCACATCTGCAACAGGCACAACGAGTCCAGGATCAGAATCACTCGCAGGTCAAATCTCTGTAATCGTCTAATCGACATCTCCTTAAACGCTACAGATCCTCGAGAGCGTCAGATTTCAGCTACAACTCTAAAAAATGGCCAAATCAGGACATTCTGCCATCGCCCCTGCTTTATAACTTCTCGGGCTCCTGCCACTCTGATTCAAACAGAGCCCATTTTACATTACGACCTGGACTTCTGGACACCAGATTCCTTCTCTACGTGATATGAACTTCAATTGCATTTGCTGAGAAAACAAGAAGAACATATCGAGGAGGAATGGAGAGTGTACTGTGTGTAGTACCTGCCATAACGATGGGGGAGCTATGCGCTCGCTGATTATGAGCCAAGTCGAGCCGTAGCCCAGAAAACCCACACCTGCTCCTATGAGGAGAATAATTTGGGGAGGAAGGTATTCCGAGAGAAAGCCAGCCAGAAGTCCCACGCTTTTGCCTATATCTTTGGCAATGCTCAGCGAATTTAGCTCCACTTGACTGTACCCCATAACATGCTTGAGATCGGAAGCATAGTTGGCGAATGTGTAATTGTTCCCCGCTATCGACTGCACCCATATCGCACATACAAATCCAACCCATTTGAACATAATCCTTGCTGTTCTTGATTCTCCCATCTTGAACCTCTCTCGATTGCTTCTATTTCTTTTGGTTCTCCTTCTTCGCCGCTACAGATTCCCGCGGTCCTTCCAAGGAAGAGAGTTCCTGTGCACAATGTGCCCTTCGCAGGTCAGCAAAAAGGCTCTGCTCAACAACTACTAGACATGAGGACTTTACGCTCTCTGGACAACAGAAACATCCGGATACTAAAAAATATATATATTTTTCTAAATCACACAATTCCTGTAGCTTGGAATCCAGCATCTGAACTTTCGCCTGTCTAAAATCTTATTTCAGTGCAACTCATATCTACGATTGTGACACGAGGTTTCAGCTTAAATACCTGGTCTCCAGGATCAAACTCAGCTCGTCTCTTGCTGTATCCCTCCTGGACGTGCCGCCCGAGTCCTCGACAAGTAAGTGATGGGACAAATCATACCATCATCACAGCTCGTGAAAATTTTATATCATCGCCGGAGTTCTCTCCTTCTGAGCGATTGATAGCCCACACGTATTTCTGTTCCACTCACCAACAGACGACCAGGACCCGTTCCCCCGTTCAATCTCTCCCGAATTATTCTGAGTGAGGCAGAGAGAGATCAAGAATGTCTGAAGGATAGGATCTTCACTGATGCGTTTGGTGTGTACTGCATCCGAAGAGCAGTCAGTCGTTCGGTTATCCTCTGAGCAGGTGGACGCTAATAAACACAGTCCTGTAGGTCCTTGAAGCACGATGAGAGCAGCTGCAGAGCAAGTACCGCGCCGGCTGAGTGACAGCATGAAAAAGCTTATCTCCTTTAGGCCATCGTCGTGAGAGCTCCGAATCAAATGCAAGACACTACATGACTGTGCTCTCATGCATACAAGTGTCAGCTGGTGTCTTCGAGATTCTCAGCGGGGCTCCTCCTCTACCATATGAGTTAGTTGCACGAGTATCCGTCAAACCGGACCCCCTGTGCATGATTCTCTCGAGCGCCCCAGCTGCTTTTAACTTTCTAGCCATGCATCCCAAGTGTCTCACTACACCGGACACTGGCTCTCTCTCCGCCTATCCGATCCGGGTACCACCATCGTCGTCATCGTCGGGCATTGTCACTTTTAATTCGCTCACGAAGTTCCGGTCGTTTCCAGTGTGAAAGTGTACGACCTGACCCGCAGCCACCCACCCCACCACCACTCCTCCTCCTCCTTCTCCTCCTCCTCCGAATCCACCGCTCCCCTAATTCTCCCGCACCCCTGCTTGTGTACTTTTCCTCGCACCGGGCCCCATGAGCCTCCCTCAGAAACTCCCTCCCCCTGACAGCCCGCCTTCTCAGCAGCAAGTCAGTCCAGTAAGGTTTCATATCACGCTCACTGGACGAGCGCCTGCAAATTTCTCCTCCTCCGTGGACCGAGCGAAGCAAAGCAAGCTTAGTCCGGGCAACCGAGTGCCGTTCCGCGACACAGTCTCCTCTGCCCTGGACTTTCCCCCCACGACAATACGACAACTCGACAACAGTTTCCAGTTACAGTCAGGTGAAATATAGTAAAGTTAAGTTAAGAACAGTGAAGTAAGTTAAAGTAAAGTAAAGTAAACGGAACTCGAAGGGAGGGGGAAAAGGACGGTGTTCCGGGCGTCCGTACAGCGAGAAGGGACAAGCTGAGTCGAAAGTACCAAACTGTTCGGCCTGAGGACTTCGAGGGGAGGGCAGCGGTACGTGGCCTTCCACACAAGCATGCAAGATGGTCGGATCAGGCGGACGTGTCGCTCCCATCGGAGCTTCACGACCATAGATCCACAGACGGAGGGACACGCGCGCAATCCGCTGCTGTCATCCTGGTGGAGGTCGAGTTTCCGGAGGTCAGGTGTCGCCGCCGGATTGGCGGCTTATAAGCTCTGGTGGTCCTCTACCTCCCCCACGAGCCTCCGACTTGCCATCGACGGACGGCTCATGGACTCGGACTCCAGAGGCCGGGATGGACTTCCAGGCCAACCCCCCTCTTTTCCTCCGTTAGTTCCCAGACAGGGCCTCCGGGGGGAGGAAGGGAGGGAGGGACCTGGTTCGTTAAACGCCGCAATCTCAGGCAAATCTGCAACGGAATGGCAGAGAAGAACGAAGTAAAATAGCAGAAAGTAGTGAAGATTCAAAAAAAAACGATGGGGCTAGTTTCCATAGTATCACAGAGGAAATAAATTAACATGTTAACCATCTCGGTTCAGAATTTTCCACAAACATCCTTATTAATCATAAAGTTTGTATAGTTTTTATTCTATTGACATTATATATCACCTGAAAGTAGAACCACTTTTTGAAACTAAAATTTAGTGTTATCTTAACTACATTCTTTCGTGAACATATTGAACTGGATGTCCATGTTTTCTAATACTTTCGAAGTTAGAGTACAGATGTGAGCAATGTGCGCATAGCACTTTACTGGGAGATCTCGATCCACTTGCGGATAATTTCCTTTTGTGGGACGTATCTAATATCAGTAACCACCCTGGTCTATTTATACATGGGTAACCAATTTCGTTCTTGGAACGTCCGGTTCTTCGCGACTCCATGCGCGGTATGTCAGTGGGAGGCCACGTTCCATGTAATGAACGGACGGACGGAGTCGGCTCTGGGAATGATTCTGGCGGATCGAGCCCTTCTATTTTTGTCTGGTGTCGAGAAGTGGAATGCAATTCCAAAGAGAACGAAGTGTCGTGCTATTTCCAATGGAGATGCTCGAAAGATGCGGGAATATGCTCCACTATTAAGTTGTGAGAGGAGGCATGTCGTTGACAGCTCGGGGGAGAGAAGATGCACTCTGGTGCACAGAATCGGAGATCGTTTCGTATCCAGATGTGGGCAAAAGTGCTGCCCTGAGGGCGGGACGTCATTCATGTCAACGGAAGATTGCGCATGCATCGTAATTAAAATATGCGAGCGGTGAGCCCTGTAATGGCGTCTGGCCCATGAGCTGGCTGGCCCACAAGCAATTTCCTGTTGTTTGTTGGATTCTTTCCTTGGAGCTTCAGGTTCTTCAAGTACAGAATCTCTGTCCTTGGTCTCGACTCTAGTTCCAACATCGCCCAGGAGATATGTTTGTGGCGTTGTCTCTCACGAAACTTTCAAAAGGTTGAGCTTAATTCGCCAGGCAGATTATTGTATTCCTACGCTAACCCCAAGGATGCAACGTATGACATGTTTTGTTGCGGTCAACGCTCGAGCTGTCGAGATTTTCCTGCCCATAGAGTAGTCATCGATGTAGTGAGTAACCTGAGCTTTCCAGATTTTGCTGTAACGTGCAGCCGTCATCAATTGAAAAACTTGCTGATAAAATGCTCAAGGACCCTACCTGGAGCCGGGACCTCTCGAAGACGAGGCCTCGGCACCCACCTAGAGAAGTTCCCTACCTACCCATCGCCCTCCGACCTTCTGGGATGGGTACAAGTGCCATCTCCGAAATGTACTGGCAGATATCCTCGAACGATATGGCTCCTGATCATCGACTTCCTAGACGCCAAAATCAAAATTCTGATGACGAATCCATCTGAGGAACCATCGTCGAAAGGACTGACGCGTTCGGAAGGGACAGCTCAAAGCTTCCCTTGAGCCCTCCTCCCTCACCCTCATGGTATTGGAAGTTTTTTCCGCTGGCAAAATATGAACTGACATTTATAGCAGTACAGCCAAACTGCACTTTATGTCAATGACATGTGGTCAAAGTACTGTAAGCGAGTTTATCAAGTTCCAGCAGCAAGTGTCATTCAGAAGAGACATAAAATGAGTGTCGTGAAGGAGGCCGTCTGGAATTTGTTCATACATCTCTCTTTCAGAACTGTTTTAAATGTACGTCGTTGATTGACTGAAAAGACTGAAGCGACAACAAAATTGTATACTAACAGGGATTTATATACAGAAAGTTTTGTTTGCAGAGCCCCGAATTCCTGCCTTGCAGTCACAACCTCACGCGGAAAATGGAATATGGTGCTGAATATTTGCGTGAAACATGAGTATATTTCAAACTGAATATTTTTCGATAGCTATCGAATTCTTGAATAAGACCTCCCCACCTTCTCATGTCTCAGAACATGTATAACAGAAAATGTAGTGAACCCATTGCAAAGCACGCGCATTGGTTTAAAACTTTGTTTATCGCGAAGATACCATGCAATCTCATCATACAGCCAAGAGGCTGTAAAGATGTTCGAGGAATAGAAAAGAAACATTCAGCACGGCATTTGGTTTTCAAAAAGGGCTGTTTCTGAAAAGAATAGATAAGTCTTTTCGATATTATGGGGGATGCAACAATAACACTCAAATTCGGTTGTATGCACTGCATATGTAGGAGTGTGTAAATCTTAATCAAACTACATCTTGTGGTGGTCTTCATAGAGACCACAAGATGGTTCTAAGCTCTAAGCATTCATGGTTTTATCAGCTGAAAACGTCATCTCTCACAACATCATACCAAAATTGGCTTTTATGTATATTTAGAGTAATCAAGTTTCATATAAAAAAATAAAAAACATTGCATATAAAGCTCATATTCATGTTTATCTAGAGTTTCATCGCTATATCATCGGAATAAAGAAAATAATAGTTAAATCCATTAATTTCATCTCATAGTATTATAACAACACACAAAAACTTCCAAAAAAACATATGTCTACAAGTTCTATTGAGTAAAGATTGCATGTTTTAAATGTAAATATGTATGAGCCACATCATACTTCGTGATATGCCAAAATAAATGAGAGTTAAACTTCAAGTGAACACAACGATGCAACCAAATTCACATATAAGTTTGTGATTCATCCCTTATAAAATTTATTTTCTTTAAAAACACAAACTCAATACTGAAAACCTCAAAGTATGTGTCATCAAAAATTATGTCCAATTTTCTAATACTGTTAAAGTCTAATACTAGTTTAACTAACTAAGTTTACAATAGTTTGAAACAACTTGAACTTCGTAAATTCATAAAAAACTTAAATCTGATTCAAATCTTAGAATGTGTTATTTTTATCAACAATATGATTCATTTGCAAAATAAATTGATCTATTCTAACATAATCTTTTTTAACAGAATAAAATTATTTTGTAGCCAAAACATGATAGAGTAAATATTATTAATGCAACTATGAGATGTGCAACAAGTATGTTGCATCCTACAAGCAAGTATTTTTGTAACCATCTTTAGTTAGTTATAATTAAAATAGAAAATACTCAATATGAAGTTATAATTACTTTATGATGCACTAGTCATAGTTGCTACGTCAACAATACACGTGTTTGATAGGTAGAGAGTATGTGTGTTTATTAACAGCACCACGTCAGTGATCTGTGTGCTTGTTAGTTAAAGATTGAATGTATTAGTAAGTGTGTTAATTGAGAGCGTCACGTCAGCACTCCGTGTGCTTTGTCGTATAATTTGCCATATCATTCATCAACTAGAAGTTGAATGGATAGTGGGAATGAGAATTTATTCCTAAGTACTTGTTGGTAAAAACTATATAATGAAGATTAGAACCATTGTTGGTATAATCTCATCTTCAAGATTTATGTTTTAATCTTCAAGTGAACTTCTCTCTAAATCTTTAGTGTTACACTCAATTTAACAGTATTGTAAAAAGTACAGAATATGTTAAGCCAATCAAGTTTATCATGTGAATTTTGGACTGAATCTGTCAACATCGCAGTGTAATTGATAAATCTTTCTAGTTCTAGTGCAATTAATTTCTTGATACCATTTGAATTGAAAGACAAACGGATGGCTGAGTAAAGTTGTTTAAATTTTTAGTTGTGCTTTTTATTCTCTCACTTCCAAGAAGTATAAAACTAAGTTGGATTCTACAATCAAAAAGTGTAGTTTTCTTGGATATGCTAGTGATGTGAAGACTTATAGGTTATGGCATCCAGTAGACGGTAAAATTATTATTAATATGAACGTTTCTTTCAATGAGCCAAGATCATTTAAAGAGCTAAGTAGTTTTAAACTTCACATACTAACAAGAGAAAATTTCCAGCCACTCATATTGTTATGGGATAGATTCATCATTATGTGACCAATGATTTGCCACAAGAAGGAGCATATATAGAGGTGGATGAAGTCAATGAGAAACAGGAACTAGATGAACAAGTTATTATTGATGAATCTAATGTATCTACATCATATAATAGAGATCAATCAGAATCTTCTATTATAAAATCATGAAACTGTGTTAGTAGAACTTATGAAAGGTATGATCTATGAGCCAATTCATCCATTTTCAAAGATTGTGACATTGATATAGAGGATTGAGATGGTATTGCGCTAATGTAGGAAGAAGTTGAAACTTCTTTGTACAAAAAATCTCAAGCTTCGGTCAACAAGCTTGAATGAAATGCAGCTGTGGAGCGGAGAGATGCAATTGCTAATTGACAACAAGACTTGGGAGTGGTTGAACTTAGTAAAAATCAAGCGTTAATTGATTTCAAATGAATTTACAAGATGAAGTAAACTGAAAGAGGTGACGAAGCGATAATCTTCTAAGCCAAGTTGATGGCGGAAAGTTTCAAGGAGTAGAATGGTGTGAACTACAACAAAGTTTTCTCACCTATAACAAAGTTTGTTACAATTCGTCAAGTATTAGTCTTTTGTTTTTTGATGATATGGACGGAATTATAGTTTTTTCTCATGGATATTTAAAGAAAAAGATATACCTGGTACAATCAATTGGATTTGAGATTAAAGGCTAGGAGATGTTAGTTTGTAGATTGTTAAGATCACTATATGGACTAAAGCAAGCTTCTAACCAGTGAAACACGCGTTTTGATGATTTCATGAAGACACAAAATTTTACAAAATGTGTATGATTCTTGTGTCTACATAAAGTAGGTGAATGATGAGACTTTCAAACTCATTACTTCCGTACTTTACATTGAGTTTATTGATCATCTTGGCAAAAGAACCAATTTGATGTTGATGAATGCAAGAATGAGTTGAAATCTACATTTAAGATGAACGATTCAGGTGAGTCGAAGAGAAAATTATTCATGTATATTCATAATAATTTTGAAAAGAAAAGTCTATGGTTGAATCAGGTCAAATATGCTTGTGGTATATTTGACAAGTTCTTTACTTCTGTATAGGTAGAAGAAGCTCATATAGGTGGTGGTCAACGAGTAAACATGACCAATACTAAAGAAGTATGGACTTCTTTGGTAGCACATTTTTAACTTTTTGTTGCTCAATGATCTAGGAATGTCATTGAGAAAATAAAAATATCCTGTGTTTCTATGAATAAGCTATTAGCACCCTCATGTATTTGATGATGTTCACTAGGCTTTATATTACTCTAGCTATGAGCAAGGTGAGCAGGTACATGTTGAATACATAAAACTTTCACTGGGAAGCATTGAGATGAATTTTTAGATTTTTGAATAGTACTATAGATTATGTTTTATTCTTTGATGGTTTATTGGACAATGTCAAATCCTTATTGGGCTACGTTGATGTCGATTACAGACAAGATCAGGACACGAGAAAATCTACAACAATATATGTGTTTACACTTTGATGGTGAAAGCATTAATTGTATATCTACCTAGCAGAAGTGCGTATCTCAGTTTAGCACGGAAATTGAATAAACAGCGGCAGCAAAAGTGGCAAAGGAAGCTATTTGATTAGACATGCTTATCATGAAAATGGTATTGAATTGAGGTCAATATTCATTGTGATAACCAGATTGCTCTGCATCTATCTCCAAACCATGTTATGAACAAAAGGTTGAATCCCATCGTCATCATGTATCATATATTTAGATAAGCATTTTTTGATAAATCGATTGAGTTAGTCAAGATATACAGTAAATTCAATTGATATGTGATCAAAGTTATTCTTTTGTAGAGTTTTAAGCTACATTATGCTAGTTATGCATGGGGGAGCACCGGTAAAATTTACTAGCATAATATTTTCATTTACTTTTCTATATTATTACTTTATATTGTTATGCATTCAATTTAGTTCTAATTAACTCTTGTTGTAAAGAGTAGTCTTATTTTAGATTTTTTTCTAGAATTTCTTGCAAAATAAAAATATTAAGATAAGTAAGTTATTTTATTTTTATGCTAGCAAGTTTTCAATTACCACTTTATATTATTATTTTATTCTATTATTGTTACGGTTTAATTCTAATTAACTTTGATCAACAAGAGTGTTCTTGTGTTAAGATTTTTTCTATAACATCCTGCGGAATAATTATATAGAATGCAAAGTATGTTGTTTCATGAATTATGGATGAAATTGTTGTGATTAACTCATGTTTTAAAGTAATTTTGACCTAGCTAATTTTAGCTAGCAAAAGTCTCTTCAACCTGGATATTTAACCAGTAATTCTATACCAAATCACTTCTTCTTATCAATACATAATCGCGTGTTCTTTTTTACAGTGGACACAACACTATGTGGTGAACACGTTATCATCATGGTGTAGTGTGTACTTGTGTGTATTTAATGTTAATACGTTATATTGATTCTCGGTTATATGTTTACATACAATACTTAATATAATTTTAAGTATATTGAAGCTTTTGTGGACATTTGTCATACATTGCTTACACATATTGAAGTAACTTTAAAGATTGATGAAGCTTTATTATGATAAAAAAATTATATTTTAAATCAATATTACTTTTTTTTTGTAGATTTTTATATATGAATCATGCATATCTTATCAAGTATAAACAGAAAGTGAATTGATGTATATATTTATTTGTTTTAAATTTAAACTTTAACATAAAGATAACTTAAACTTTTCAAAAAAATCTGTCACTTGAAAATTATAAGAAAAAAATTTGTCAAAAAAATTTCATCATAACAAACATTTTTATTATTTTTCAAAAACTTTTTAATATATCAAATTTTTGTTAAAATACGTAATTTGTGTTATACAGTTAGATTACGTAATGTGTAATTTGTAGAAATTTTAGCAACATCTTTTCAAAAATCGCATTAAGTCTTGATGGGAATCAATAAAAAATGGTCTACAATAGTGTCAATTAAAATTAGATCAGATCCTTGATCAAAGTATTAAAGAGGTTAAAGAGACCGGTCCATCAAGCGTCAATCTTTAGAATCCTTACCGTGTTTGAGATGAACCTTGGACGGGAATTGGCTTCGGCCATTCACACACCATGAGGTCAAGGGTTCAAATATTTTCACACATCTTTCAGGGCCTCCACCTCTAGTTCCCTATTGGAACATATCCTCTTCATATTTAACTGAAGTATTTGCAATAGATCATATTTAAAGTATGGAAGCTGATTTGGATAAATTTCTCATCGAATTACCTTCTGAAAATTGCGGAGCATCATACTTGTCAGTGTATATCGATTTTTCCGGGTATCTATTTATTAGTAAGCATTACTCACTGCTTGCAGGGTGTAAGTATATTTTGTGGGGTCGTCAAATTCCGCACGCATAATTTGTCTGAACATCAAGTATGTCATACCATCACTTGCTAGAACCCAAAAAGATTCTAGTCATCTGGTCTATCAACCGTCAGGGTTGTCCAGTCCTGTGTACTGAAATTCGGTGGTATTGGACCTTTGGTAATATTATTAACATTCTTGGAATGAACAAAGAACAATATGTAAGACAAATGGAAAGATAGAAAATTGACGCCATTATTTTCCTACTACTAGAGTTAGGCTGAGAAGTCAGCTACAACACGTCTGTTTTCGGTGTCCCTTTTTGCTTTCAATCCTGAGACTAACTTCTTGAAAATACACCACCAACTGAGATATTCAGAGAACTTCGACAAAACTCTACGAGAATATGCAACGATAGAAGTTGTGACAAATACCGTTGCTGGGTCCATCTCAAGGCCTCATGATGCAGTTGACAAATGTAAGGCAAAACATATCAAACAAATGTTCAAATCTGATTCCACTCATAGAATCTCCCCAGGAAGTGCAAGTTCAAAATTCATAGGAGATATTTGAACAACATGTACATTCATGCAATAAGAAAACCTTATACAGATGCTCGCTCGAAGAGCTGAGAGCAATCACTGTCCGCTTTGATGAAGCGACAGAAATCTGTGATCTTTGGGTAGCTTGTTGAGTACCCACCTTCCATTGGTATTCGGGTGTAAGATTATTGCTGAAACCTCTCATGCGAGGCAGTGGCCGGCCACTTAAATCATCCATTCAATGATATGATGATGGTACAACCTACTCATACTAAACTAAATTCAACTACACATGTCGCAGAGAACAAGAAATGGCTCGGCCTCGTAAGTCAATTGATTTCAGAAAAGCTTTTGTACAGGAGAAGAAGCTGGTAGTCGAAGAACATTTTGTTTTCAGGATGAGGGCAAGTCTCTTGAACATATGAACCAGATGGAGGAGTTCGACGGTGCCACTGACGCAGAGAGAGGCTCGTGTCTCATCCCAAAACAAGACGGGATTCGACTACTGCTCGTCCCAGGGCCCAACAAAAGTGTCCTCCCGGATCTTAAGCCACCTCATCATTTCATCCCTGAGTGGCCTTCCTTCAAGTACAGAGTCCAGCATCGGGCTCCCGAAAAGACCCCGTTCATTCTTGAAGGACCAAAACTTCGACCAGATTTTGGACTTGGGCCACTTTTGCTCTGGTTTATGTTCCTGCACATTTATCAGGTACAAAAGTCAAGAACGAACGTAAGTAGAAAAATGCCTTAGAATCTGAACACTTCTGTGTCACAAACCAGATTACAGGCAGAAGGAAACTGTTAACGCGACAACGGTCGTGAACAACATCACAACAGATGTAGGTGTCCTCAAGAATATATGGTAATTAGTAACACTCGATGTCTCTTAAAGGCATATTAAGGATTCCAATATCTTTTCACAGATCACCAGCGATAGGATGCTTATTATATTAAGCGCCCACACACCAGTAACTGTGATGATCGTATGACAGCGAGCAAGAAAAAGACTTACTAAAGATTGAAAGGTATGACAAAAGACTTTCGTTTCCAGTTCATGCCAGAAGCCATACATACCATGTAAAAGATCATCTTCTCTCGGTGTTTAGGACCATAGGCCAGACGAAAATCGTGCTGAATACTTCTGGCATAACAAGACGAAACATCGGGTAGAACGAGACAACCTCGAGAAGACTTTGCAAGGCTTGCACCAGGATCGGCCGCCTTCTGCTTAAACCAGTTGATAAGCTGTCCCCATACATACTCTTTGCTGTAGACCTTGCTCCAACGTCGATTTCCGGTAAGGGAGTGCTTGGTACCGAGGTCAAGAGGTGTAATTAACACAGGAGTCGACTTCACAACAGCATAATCCTGCAGATCGAGAAGGATGTTTACTTCTATGCAATTGTGACAACAAGACAAAGATCCACATTGCACATCTGAATGAGAGAAGGGCTAGGACACTGTGAACTTGAAACACCTAAGTTGGGCTCATAATCATTTTTCCTGTTCAAGGTCCTAATATACACCGGTGCAATATGAAGGACAGACATCCACATGATGCCAAACCCAGTTGGATAACACTGGTATGCTCTGTACTCTACGAAACAATTTACTGCACTGAGACAATGGATGCTAGGAAATACAAACCGAGATCAAATAAAAGCCGAAATCTAGCGATGATGTATATCTACATCAAATCCATTTAACTAATTGAGAGTAAACTTTAAGCAGCAAGAAGTGTGGCCCACAACTAACCTCCAGAACGAAGAAATGCTTGGTGTTTGCATACATATGAATCAAATCAGCTGCTGCATCATGTCGGGCCTTGCAAGTTGCCGGAAGTCTTCTTAACGCATCTCTCAACCTTGTATTTTCAAAAGTTTAAAAACCCGAAACGTTAATTAGTATGTTGTAATGCCAACAACACAACGTCATGTCCTGCGGACATGACGAAATCTTATTTCAAATACTAACGCGTCGGTTGAGCATAATTAACTTGTCATTTTCCGATCTAACGTCAGCAGATAGCACAAAATGAGCATCAAAAGCCTGAAATTTGAAATATTCATCCTTCCATTTGGTTGAGTAAGGTACACACCACAATAAGCTGAGATGAAGATTATTTCCGGAATCATTAGGCGAGTTCCTTCCTACTGACTCCTTGAACTGCAACATTTTCTCTCTTTCCAGATGAGGTGCCAAACATTGAAGAAGCTCATTAACTACAGAGTTCTCCTTTTTCCAAATCCACTGAACCATCTCTTTCAGGTCCAGCTTCCGTACTGGTGGTGGAGCCAAACCAGGCTTATCGAAAAGTTCGGTCAAAATGTGGCGAACCTGTGGAACAACAATATAAAAGAAGTTAATACAAACCAATGCTACAACACTAATTTGTTAGAAAGCGAAAAAAACATACAGATCTGGGACGACAAAAGAATTCTACTGACCTTGTCAAGAGTAATAGTTAAATTTTGTAGCCTTTGATTGTAAACGCCCTCAGTCTGTGGAAGAAAAGGTTCAATACATCAGAGATACAAATCGCCATATGCCTCCACTAGGCTGACTTTCCATCGTTCTTCCCCTTCATCACTTCAGACCTTTAAAACAACTGACTTCTGAATTTTTTTGACTTCCTTCTCTTTCTGCATTCATCTCCTGGTAACTAATAGACAATCATTCCCCTTCCCCTTAAAAAAGACATGAATTACAATACTTTCAAGAAAAGCTTTAGATGAATGGAATGGAATACGCACGGTGATCTCTGCGTCTACTTCGGAAGAGCCCTCCACAACTCCCTGTTTTCTTTTCAGATCGAAATCTTTCAAGAGCTCCGCAGGAAGGTGCGTTTTCTCAAAGTTCATGAAGTGAACCTGTTCATCAGAATATATCTTAGAATGATTATTGCAAATTCAAAATGTCGGTACATAATAGCTGGCTACAACCTACTGCGTATATAAGTTTAGAGTGAACTGAAGTACGCGACATAAGTATATTGACAGTAGAGGTCAGTAAAGTTTACGCCGATCATTTAGGAGATCTCACTACTAAGATCGAACGGAAAAGATCAAAACCATCTAGTGATTCCGACAAATGGAAGATGTATCACAGGAACGTGTATAGAAACTCCAGACAGGTCCCTCCTTATGCGCAGAGGAAATAAATAAAAACAGCCTTTCAAAACAATGAAGGGTCAAAAGAAGAGCTTTTAGCCATCATCAAGAAACTATAGCAGTGAGGTGAAACTGTTACGCCTCAAAATGTTAGCATCATACACGCAACCTAAGTGCCTCTCAAACTCTCAGGACCCATATATAACATTGTCAAGTACACAGAATCCAGTATCTACGTACCAAGCGTGCAGCGTACTTAACCGCCCATGTTGGCAGTCCCGAAAGCACACAGGAACCGAGGCCCGCTTGTCTCATTTCTTCTATTTCCTCATTTGTGATAGGTGCAGGACTGCAAGCATTCAGAAGCAGCCTGTGTCTATCCAGAAGGCCATGATCTCTTGCAATAACCTGACGACACACAATCCAATCCGCAAAATCACACATTAAAAGATCATCATTCCTGCGAAACGACAGGAAGTTTTTCAAGACTAGAGACCATATTCCCTGACTATGAGAAGCCAAACAAAAACAAAGAAAAAAAAGCTGATGAAGGGAAGGCTCAAGCCAATTCTAGTGGAGTAGTATAGCCAGGTATATTCAAATAGCTCATGGTCAAACACAAGGGCTTGATTTGCGAGAAGAGCAGCAGAGGAAACACACCATGAGGTACAACTAGAGAAAATGACGACGATTCTCAAAGTGAAAGGTCTACGATTATTAAAAGCTTCAAAACAGAGTATGAAGGAAAGACATAAAGGGGATTAAAATCAAGTAAAAAATCAACTCTAAGTGTTGTTAATGCTGTTTCGGTACATGCAATCTGGTGTCCAGTGACCATCGCCCAACAGCTGAAGGAAGCGGTGGCTTCTTCACTGTGTATCCGGGTAGTTAGGGTTTCCCCGTTTTAGCACTTGATAGAAGTGCAGTTTGCATCACAGGGATGCAGCTGCAGGCTACCAGGCAGGACCAACATTGAAGTGCCTTGGATGACGTAACCTCAACAAATCTATATGCAAACACTATATAGTTTAATCCTCAAAATAAAATTTTGAGAATCTTTACTTATAACTTGCTAATTATGAAAAAAAACGAGTTACCATCTAAAGAATCAAACATATAGGTTCTCGGCTGAATATTGATAACCATCTAACCTCTTCAAAGGTCCCAGATCCTGTAAGATTGAGATAGCTGCCTCTGCATCCTTGGCTCCCGCACAAACAAACAGCATTGTTGTATTCCTCTTTGCTCTGCATACAATTTAGAAGATTATAAACTTCGCGAACAAATACAACAAAACATTGTGATAGAGGAGAAAGTGAAAGTAAAAAGAGAAATTTGTAAATTCCACCTCTGTGACTGAATTGTAGTCGAAGGTGAGCTCCTCTCCTCGCTTGATTGGCTTCAAAGAATATACTCCAATGATATATGTGTCATTCACCGCGGTAATCCTGCGCCATTGAACCAGAACGAAGTAAGTATAAAGCATAATCAAGTTCACTAATGGTACTAAAGATATCTAGATGTCAATGCTATTCGAGTTCACGTAACTGGATACCGAGACAGTCACAGAATATTAGCGAATATAAAGTTCTGATGCCAAAGATAACTAACTATGCCATCCCATGTGATAACAAGAGAGTCATCGACTTACAACATTAAAGCACAGTAAGATCTTAAACATATCCCCACTACAAAAAGCGACGGGGATGCCCGGGGGTGCAACACTGTTTTCAAGGTACTTTAAAACACTCAACTCAATAGACTCTGCCTGCAGATCATAGACCGACTTAAAAGCGACTATTTCATTTATTGAAGCCCCAACAGATGCATGCAGTGAGATTAGAACAGTACTTGGCTTCACAATTTGGTCGACAAGAGTGGCAGAGACGACTTGCAAAATTGGCCTTGTGCATAGCGTCCACAACAAGAAGATCATAACCAGCAGCATCACCCTGCATATAACGAAAGAGCGGAGTCAATGATACAGATTAATAACGACGTCTGGAAGCAGTTCGATTTTGCTAATAGAAGAGGCACTTCAAACAGCAACCAGCAAAGCATACCTTTGGACGTTCATAGTATATATTATAAAACTCTGGCGTCGGATCTTTGTCCTTCTTCTGTAGAGATCGGATACCATCCTGCTTCTCATACCATCTCCAAGGTGGATATACCTGAATCCATTGGATGACACAACGTGATTATGATGACTTCAAATCTTGATAGTGTATACTCAGAACTACGACAAACGATTTGATTCTCTCCCTAAATCTGGAACTGGATGAAATAATATTGATCTTTAAATAACCTTTCAGTGTATAAAATACAATAAGCTCAATAAACTCAATGTCCTTCTTACCTCTCCAAAAAATTCCACGACAAATTCATCTTTCTCCAAGCCTTGTGCCTTGTTACAAACAACTCCAAGCCCCTGGACGAGAGACCAGAAAACAGATACAATATGAGCTTGGATATCTCAAAGCATCCTAGATCTTGAAGGTGAAGACCCAGCTCTCTAGCAGACTTAAAAAAAACAATCAAGAAGAAATTCCATATTGTTTTATAGTTATTATTTAACCGGAACAAAATTATTCATGTCTTACTTAAGACGAGAATAAAATATGAATAACAACGCCATCGTATCTACTAAAATCAAAACTGCAAACAAACACAGTATTTCAAAACAGATGTTAAAGTGATAATTGAACTTACTTTCCGATATGCAACAAATTTGTCTCTCTGCCGAGCTTTCATATTTACAAGGAGTTGATCTGCAAAGTCATACAAAGCCCAGTCTTTGCATATCTCTGCTTCAGACGCTATTCTTTGAACAACTCTTTCTAGTGGATACTCCATTGGGGCCTTGCCTGTGCCTGTATACTTGCTTCCCTCCTTGTTTAACACCAAGAGAAGCCTCTGCAAGAATCAAAAGTATCAAGGTTAAACAGGAAAAAGCAGCGGTCGCAAGCACAAGGACAGATAGTACACGAGTAACCAAGATCAAAGGCAGGAACTAAGGAAATCTGAATTCAAGTCCGCTCAACTAGCTCGACGTACATACCTCTTCAATAAATTGCTGCCGCTGAGCTTCCGTGAAGTATGTTGTTTCCACTGGCATGGTGTCCAGCAAAAGGTTGTGCGTATAAGGATCGATACCATAGACTTCCTGTTCCATAACTTCTTCACCGAGCCTTTTACGCGGCTGATATTCTTTTATCTCGGGTATATCAAGATGGGAATAGTGATCACCGGCCTTCTCCAAGGCGGTTAGCGAAGCGAAGTCCTTCGGAAGCTCTACCTGCATTTTCTTAAGCACCCGGTCTTCATCGGCCACGATCCTGTACTCTTCGATCACCACGTATTTGCGTGTTACAGGGGGAACCATTGCTGCCTTGGTCATTCGTGCACCCCAGTCGAGATACCCAAACTCCATATCGTCGTCTGTGTCGTAATTATCAGCCTCAAAATCTCCATCTTCTCCCTCTGACTCACTTGGAATATCGGAGTCAGAGGGCTCGGTTTCTGTTTCCTCTTCATCTCCTTCCATGAATCCGTCTTCCTCATCTTCCGAACTATCCCCTTCGTCAGAATCCCAAGACCGTTCCTTCTTCGACTTGCTAAATCGCCGAGTTTCTCGTTCAGAATCGCTGTCACTATCTACATCACTCCAATCACCTTGCCTACCCTTCTTGGCAGATCCAATCTTCCCTTTCTGTACGCCATCATCCTCCCACACCTTCCTCTTCTTCCCAGGACGATGTTGAGACATTGTAGGAGCTTTCGATCTCCCTTTTTCCACTTTACCGAACGGTCGAGCCCCAAAAGATTTGCTCTGCATTTGTATTTCGACAGAAGATCGACCGGCACTTTGATTGTCCTTGGCTTCAAAGTAGGAGTGCGTAACCTTGAAAATCCTCTTGGTTGCCTGAAGAACCGGGTTATCATGCGGATTCCTGGAAAACCTTTCGGAAACTCAGACTAAAGGCTAAAAAGCGAACGCCATGACAAGGAGATTTATAGGACATTCGCAAACCGAACAAAAGCTCAAACCATCACCAGCCTTTCACATCACAGCGGCCCATATGATTCAAAGAATTGCACAATGAACACAAATGTTCCTTTCACCACACGCCAGATCCATCGGACGGTTGACGTTTCCCCTCAAGTTAAGAAGATACCCGTAATGTACCAACCGCAAGGTACAACTACGCAGTTCGAATTAGTGAAGATGGTTATACCGAGTCCCGTCACCTCGACGTAGGATTCCAATAACAAGCGACCGTAAGGTACAACACCTTGGTTAAGGCGTTTCATTCCCGTATTATTTAGTTAACTGTATACAAATTAAGTATATCGACATACCGAAACTCAGACTCAAGGCTAAAATGCCAACGCCATGACTACCAAATCTGAAAAACATTCGCAAACTAAACAGAAGCTCAAACCATCACCAACCTGTTACATCACAGCGGCCCATATGATCCAAGGAATTGCACAATGAACACAAATGTTCCTTTCACCACATGCCAGATCCATCGGACGGTTGACGTTTCCCCTCAGAAGATACCCGTGATGTACCAACCGCATGGTACAACTACGTAGTTCGAATTAGTGAAGATGGTTATACCGAGTCCCGTCACCTCGACGTAGGAATCCAATAACACGTGACCGTAAGGTACAACTCCTTTGTTGAGGCGTTTCATTCCCATATTATTTAGTTAACTATATACAAATTAAGGATATCGACAAACCGAAACTCAGACTCAAGGCTAAAACGCCAACGCCATGACTACCAAATCTGAAAAACATTCGAAAACTAAACAAAAGCTCCAACCATCACCAACCTCTTACATCACAGCGGCCCTTGTGATCCAAAGAATTGATAATTGAACAGAACTGTTCCTTTCGCCACATGGCAGATCCATCGGACGGTTGACGTTTCCCCTCAGATTGAGAAGATACCCGTAATGTACCAACCGCAAGGTACAACTACGCAGTTCGAATTAGTGAAGATGGTCATATCAAAGCCCGTCACCTCGACGTAGGATTCAATAACACGTGACAGCAAGGTACTACTCCTTGGTTTGGGCGTTTCATTTTCATGTTCTTCAGTTAAGTAAAAACAAATTAAGGATATCGACACACCAAAACTCAGACTCAAGGCTTACACGCGAACGCCATGGCTACCAAAATTGAAAGACCTCCGCCATCTAAACAAATGCTCCACCAGCACCCTCCTTTTATATCTCTGCGGCAATCCTAATTCACAAAGTATGCAAAATAAATACAAACATCATTTCCACACATGCCAGATCCATCGGACGGTTGACGTTTTCCCCCAAGTTGAGAAGACACCCATAACGAAACAACCGCAAGGTACAACTACGTAATTGTTATTAATGAAGATGGTCATACCGAATACCGTCACCTCGACGTAGGATTCCAATAACACGTGACCGCATGGAACAGCAACTTGCTTGGGGCGTTGCATTCCCATGTTATTTAGTTACTATACACAAATTAAGAACAAAGACACACCAGTACCGTTACGGCAAGGAGGAACTAAAACAAAAAGTGACCAACTGCAAGACACAACTACTTGGTTGAGATGTTATCCGGTTAACTAGACACGAATGCAGGACTTAGACATGAAAAAACCCGTCACCGAAAAGTGTGACTGATACAGAAGGTGACTAACGGCAAGGAACAACAAAAAAGTTGTAATTATTTATTTCCCTCAATACCGGTTAATATGGCAAACATATAGCTCCACATACTTATGACTTCCAGATACGTTACTACGACTTAGCAGAACATAGAGAACGTGAGCAACAGCAAGTCACACCTACAATATTGGAACTTTTTGTTCCCCTCATTTCCAGTTCAATTGGCAAACAAAGCCAAATACTGGAAAAATTATTTCTGAAAGTACCTAACGCTACACATCACGGAGGTACATGTCCGTAGCTACGAGTAAGGAGTAAAATAAGCCATGGGCAAGCAGTAAGGCACATCAACAAAGTTGGAACTTTTCTTTCCGCAAGTGAACTGGAGTTCACTTGGCAACTCAGTTCATAAAGGTACCTTTAGCTACACATAGTCATGGACGTAGATATACGTTGCTACGACTTAGCAGTCAAATAAGTAGTGAGCAACAACAAGGCCCAAAAACAATGCTGGAACTTATTCCGCTTCCAGTTCACTTGGCAAACAATGCCAAGTTCTTGTATAAAAATATCTGGTTGTACACACAGCTATACATAGTCATGGACGCAAATGGAAGTAGCTACGAGTTACGATTAAATAAAACGTGAGCACCAGCAAGGCACAACAACAATGTGGGAATTTTTTCCTCCACTCGATTACGGTTCACTTCGGAAACAAATCCACGTTTCTGGAGATATGTTTCTGAACGTACAGGTATACACTTAGTCAAGTACGTACAGGTACGTTACTACGACTTAGCAGTAAAATAAAAACGTGAGCAATCAGGCACAACACTTCACTTGGCAAACAATGCCAAGATTCTGGAAAAACACTTAAGGAGGTTCCCATAGCTACACATTTTTATGGAAGTACATGTACGTTGAAACGACGTAGAAGTCAAAAAAAATCATACGCAACTGCAAGGAAGAACGACAGGGTTGGAACCTTTTATTCCGCCGCATTCAGTTAAGCTTGGAAAACACTGAAACCTTTCTATCGTTAACTTAAGCAACTAGACAAACAGTAGTTCCGACGAATTTGGATTCAGAAAAAATATGCCCGGCCGCAAGGTATAAGGTCATCGTTGGAGTTTTAGGTCCAAATGAAGTTCAGTTAACTTTTTCATTCTAATGACTCATTAAGGAGATAGACATACTGAGAAAAGTTGCTGCGAGGTAAAATAATAATAAGAACTTGAACAACCATAAGGTACAACTACAGAGTTGAACATCCAATCAGCTACGTTTGCAGACAGAAAAAACTTCCTCCACAGAAATCGCGGAGATAGACATACAAATAGCCGTTAGAGCAAGGTATAAATAAACTACAACTTGGCCACACGCGACGTGAATCTATTTCGTTGGTACCTTGCATTCCTCTACAGTGCAGTTCACTTTAAAAACGCAAACAAAATTCTACAGACAAAATAGAAAGACAAACATATCGAAAGCCGTTACCACAATGTAGAACTAAAAGGAAACGCAACCGCAATGCAATCTACTTAGTAGGAAATGTTCGTTCACATGAAGTTCAGTTAGTTTAAGGAACACATAAGAATAAATATAGACAAATTACCGAGATCGACATACCGACAGTCATTACCGCGGGGTAGAGATATTATAGTTCGCTCACAAACCCGCGAAGTACCACTACTTCATTGAAACCTTTCATCCACTTAACTTTGCAAACACGCGAAATCTTTCAAAAGAAAGTATAGGAGATAGACATACCGAAAGCCGTTACGTATTAGAAGTTTCACATCATCTCTAAAAGCGTCGAAGCCATTCTTTCCACTTGAATATGCCCCGTTCCTGTGTTTCTTCTCCATCATCCAAAGATCAATAGTTTTTCCTGATTTTGACGAATCTCCCTTGACCTCGGTAGCGATACTAGCCTGCAGACAGACCAACCCGCACACTGCGTCATCCTCCATTTTGACTGCAAAACCGTAGAAAATATGCAAAGAAGGCACACAAAAGGCCCTTCGCATTGACAGACAACTCAGTAACATTAAAGACACGGAAATCAAACACCTACTTCTGTAAAACCACGTGACTAATTGTGATGTATGAGAAGGAGGAAAGGATCACAGCGGTATAGAACGAACCGGTTGAAAAACTCGGCTGGTGTCAGCTTCCATCATTTCTCGGAGAAGAAGACCTATCTCCTTCTCCAAGCTCTTCTCACCTTCCAGCATGGACAACATACCGTAACCTTTGGATGGAAATTCTCCTTTGACACTGGAAGCAGAACCTTTATCTGAAATGCCTCTTTGACTACCACTCAGTGGCTTTCCTCTCCTGTATATAGCTTGCTCGTGCTTTCGATGAGACGACGTAGTCAGAGTTTTTCGTTTAACATGTGGTAAATGTGACATGCTGTCACCGTTCTCTCGCTTAGAAGTCTTTGCATACCCATTAGACGAATCAAATTTCTTACTACCGTTATTCAGCTTGAAGTGTTTAGCTCCATTAGGGGTCCTTGCACTGTGAGTGGTTTCTGAGTCTTGAAGAGAGTCATTCGTTGTGGCCTCTAGATCCGTATTTACGTTGCAAGCGAAACCACTAGGGCTTCGTACCTTGCTGGCACTATCACTTACAAGATGCATTTCAAAGTCGTCAGACTCCCTATTCACAGAATCCCTCAAATATCCAGCTTTGCTTTCGCCTATAACTCTCAGGCTTTTGGTTTTGAAGTGTATCTCATCTCGCTTGCGGCTAATGTGGTCCCGAGGACTCTGTACCCCAAACTGTTCAGTAACCCACCTCACTTTAGGGAACATATGAGTGAGCTCTTTGAATGGCACCAAACTATCAATCTCAACTGCTGAAATGGAGGGACAGGCTCGCAGAACTTCTGCCAGCGACTCAGGCTTCACATTTGTACATCCCTTCAAAATCAATCTTTTCAGCTTCGGTGCTCGAAATCCCTGTGGGAAATGTTAGGTCCAGACACCACTCAATTAGAATTATTGAAACCGAAATATAATCATGGCACACATATAATCATCACACATATTTTGCTTTCCACTTGAGCAAGATGGTAACATCTTGCGATTGAAAGCAACTCCTTAAGAATTAGTTCACCTTAACTATCAGTTCCCTCCAATTTACTTTTGTATAACCAGGCAACTCTAAAGCAAGAAGACAAGTGCGGTAAATGTAAGACAAGTTTTTGAAAACACAAACCGACTCTAACATGTAGTCATCAATCAAACTCACCGGTAAGGCCTCCATCAGAGCATCCAGCCTTTGGCCCCGGACGGAAGAAAGATCGACCGATTTCAACTCAGTCTTGCAAACTTTCCCTGCGGCCATCCATGACTTGCAGGCCGCTGATGCATTCGTTAGTGCCTTAACATCCCCTCGTAAGTGACGGAATATCATACGCAGAGTACCAAATTTCAAGGTGGCCCAACCCTTTTCCTGGCCTCCAGACACCAAGTCTTGTGGCACCATATCAGGCGATCTAAAAGGATTGTCATCTATCAGATGCGGCAAATCGCCTACAATTGCGCGAGTTGAGTGACCTCCCTTCTCATCACCGTCACTCTCCTCAGAATCCAAAAGCCTCCGTTTTTGAGAACTCCTACGATTCTGCTTTGAATCTTCCAAGGCCCACGCTTTTCGTTTAGATGGGCTCAACTCCTCACCTGTTTTGCCATCTGCAAGACAATCACAGACTTAGACCACTTACTATGCTCCATAAAAGTGAAGACGGCCATCCGAGTAAATTCTAATGATAGAACTTCAACGAGTAACAATGTCTCTATTTGAACATCACATCCTTTAGATCCACACGTCAAGCTAGAGAGCTGAATACGCAGCAAAAATACAAAGTAGCACGTACTTTGACCAACAGAAGTGGCTCGGCTCCATGCTTCGGTCTCCACTGTCTTAGCGACATCGTCGTAAGAACTGGAGGGAGTTCCGTGAGCACTACGACGCCCAGTCAACGCAGACTGATTTTGTGACTGCCTCTCGTAGCGAGGAGAACTACCTCCGGCATCATCATTAGCTCGGCATTTTACCGCAGCAGGTGTTGGAACACTCGATGCCGGGCTTCCATGAAGAGCGGGCAGTGGTGCTATGGAAATCTTTTCTTTCTCCTTTGCCTGGAACCATTTTTCCAGACCTTCATATAGTGCGGCTGGTAGAGACGCGCTTTTGAAAGATTTCATCACGTATTCGTGGAGCTTGCCACGGGTAAATCCCAAGAATTGTGGGTGGATATCATGAAAAGAAACAGCTTTTGAAACGTTATTGGTTGGTGCACATGACTCTCTGCTTTTGGGATCCGAGTTTTCAGACACAGAAACAGCTGGAGGTAAAGGTTCTGAAGGACTGTAGCGCGACCCATCGTTCAGAGAGGTTTGAATCGTAGATGACTCCGACGTATGTTTCGCAGCTGGGGGTTTCGTTAGCGATGCTAGACGACACTTTTGTCCGCTTTCGGACGGGATACCTGAATCAGCTGGCGAAGAAATAGGACGTTCTATAGAGGGTACACTGACAGGAACCCATAAGTCATCATCCTTCCTATACACAGACGAACCCTCAAAGAGCTTCTGATTCGAAACCAGAGACTGTATCTCTGCATGTGAAAAAGGCCCCATTTCACGACCCATTCCATCCAGATAAAACCAAGGTCCATCATGAAGTTTCAAAGTATCCCTTGACGGTAGATCTCTCCTGGAAAACACTTTCTTGGGAACAACCTTGGACGGCTCCCCATCGAACCCTTGCTGGTGTTCAGAAGGCCGGTCTCGCACAGCTGCTTCAGGTCTCCCAGTTTGTTGTAAAATGCGCTCTGAAGTAGGCTTAAGTCGACCGTCACCAACTCCTGCCGCTCGTGGTAAACTCCTATGCTTGTTGAAAATTGAGTTCTTCTTCACAATAAGTAGCTCGTGCTTGCTTGACTGATGTACAATCCTCGCACTATTGCTTACTGCTTGTGGATGGATGACGGGACCACCGGATTTGGTGCCAGTAGCAGGAACCAAGGCAAGTGTGGAACTGACTTTGGCTGCCTTCGAACCGGTCCCTGGACCACCCAAGCTTAGGCGACCCTGAGTAAGATGGGCACTTGGTGTGGAGCCTTGAACACTTGTGGTAGCCGCGTGGCCCCCCTTGGGCGTGGTCATGAGGTGTTGACTTTGGGTCACATTAGGATCGTCAGTAGTGTTACCGAGTTTCAACGCAAATTTAGGGACTTCCAGCTTGCTCCAATCTACCCCATTAAGCTTAGCAGATTCCTCTGCCGGATTCTGCAACTCTCGCTTGCGGGGATCACGCTTGCGTTGATCACGTGGATCACGGACTTTACCATCGCAGAAAGGATGTCCTCCATTTAAAACCACCTTCTTTTGTACCAATGAATGTACTTGCGCCTTCTCCCCGACCACAGGTTGTGGATTTTCTACTTGGTATGCATAGAGTTTCCAGTCACCACCTCTCGCGGGCCAGGTCCACAACTCAGGTTTTTTCTCCACCAGACGATTCCTCCTACAAAGAACTGGAGGAGGAGGCTTAGGAACACTTACAACTTCAACCGCCGCATCTGGTACAGTTGCCATCCCTTTCTCTTCCAACTTATCGTCTGCTTTCGAAACATGTTGATCATTCCCACTAGCTTCTAGCCCTTGAACATCGCTTCCAAAGTCACCATCCTTCCACTGGTCACCCAAATTAGCAAATCCACCATGCGATCGAGGAGACTCTGTGAGACATAGACAACTAAGTATCAATCACGTAGACAAAGCTTGTATATCTCCAAAAAAAAACCTGGAAGGTACTACGGAGGAACGAGAATTTTCTAGAAAAATCAGTTCTAACTAGAAATTAGACAGGTAAACATGAATATATACAAGCCACAATAGTCGTGATACAGACCTTCATTGAGATTATCTGTTTCATAACCCAGTGCCTCACGAACACGACTTGCTGCACTGCTCAATGCTTCTGCAGCACCGAGAACGACAAAAAGTTAGTGATCAATACTGCACTGGCATGAGATGAACATACGCAATAATGAGATAGTGTGATTGTTGTGAGATAAATCGAACAATCACATGACTGACACGATGAATCGGAGAGTTACTGTTCTTATCTACGTCAAACACCGCGTCCCCAGAACCCACTAATCAAAATACTCGTTTTCAAAAAATTGGCAAGTAATATGGCTGAAACCATAATCATGTCGAATGTGACAAGTTGAGACCAACAAGAGACTTGTTCGAAGAACGCACCATACACAATTTCTCCTTCCTTGCCAGGAACATATGTGAAGCCCTGCATGAGTTTCTCCACACGCTCATCAATGTGGAGATCCTCGAAGTCTCCACCTAACGAGGAAGCGGCGTTTGATACCTCTGTTCCTGGTGGGCATATATCATGATCGGCATACTCCACAGCCACAAGCTCGTCTTTCAGTCTATCTTGACTGTGTGGGGGACAAGATAGTGGGGATGCTTGAGATAATCCAGAAGAACTTAACGACGAAGGCTGTTTGTTTCTAGGTGAGCTTGGTAGCCAGTTAGAAGGAGGTGACCCTGCATGCTCCAAAGTAACCCACTCATTGGTTCCTTCTCTACGCACCAAATGATCAGACTGCAATAGCCCGTTATCTAGCAGTTCCCGTAACTGGCCTAGCTCCACAGGCCCCTGCAAGTCTCCATGTCGATCATTGTATAACCAGCCTCTACTTAACGACTCACTCGTGCTACAGATCGTCTCTTCACCCTCATTTGATAAAAACGGGTGCTGATGTACAGCTTCCGCCGTACATGGCGGAGGGGAGATGGCCATTGGGCTAAGACTCTTTTGCAGTTCGCAACGAGCATTTACAACCAACGTGTAAGGGGCACCAATAAGATTGGCGTAAGGAGGCCTAATTTGAGATCGGACAGGTTGACTCTCCTGTACTCTAGAATGCTTCAAGTCGGTGCCCAACATTCGCCGCTCTAGACCATCTTCGCCATTCCGACACTCTGAACTCAACGAACTCCCAAACCCATACCTTCCATCAATGGTTTCAAAGCGTCGTCTGTATTCAGGCTTCAGACCACCATCAAGTGTCTTCGATCCTGGCTTCTGACCAAGCCTTTCCATATACGTGGAGTAGCCATTTCTGTCAGACGACCTGTCGACACTAACCTCTCGACTACGGTATCCTGTGTGAGCATCATGTGTGCTATCCGTCTCCCTGCTACCAATCCTCCTCCTCATGGGAGATAAGGAGCCATGTTCCGATTGCCTCCTCATATTATCCTTCTCTGCGCACCTCTCAACACCTACACCAAGGCGGTCAGAGTCCAATTCTCTTCCACGACCATCATATCCACTCTCTCGCTCCACCCAATCCCGCTCGTGATTCCTCTCTCGCAAATGTCGCCTTTTATTCCAACTCGATGGCCCAGACTCAGGTTGAGCCACTAATGGGTCTTTCTCTACATCAGAATCATCATTTCCAGGTACGCGGCTAACAGTATGAGAAATGTCACAGTCCGGCCGACGCTTGTTGTCTTGCTCGGGTATTCCCCTGCATAATGGAAGCTTATGTTCATCTGATTGAGAACCACCAACCGTCAAGTCCTTGGTACTTGTGCCTACCTTTTCCTCTTTCGCCGAGTCCCTTTTACTTTCACAGTTCTGAACAACAACTTCCGTACTACGATCCTTATTTGACACCGTAAGCTTCTCATCTTCGACTACTTCTCTCTGGTGAAGTTTATCAGCAAGCTGCAGAGGTTCGGGGACGATCTCTTTACTAGACGCCACATTCTTCTCTTCCTTGTGTGCATCTCCGCTTTGAGTTTTCTCGGAGCTGGGAGGAGCGTCAGCCGTACTCTCTGCTCTCGGTAAAACTCTCGGAGTATCCCACCTTGAAGTGCGTTTCCCTTTACCGGGCTTATTTTGAGCTTCACCCGTAATGGTAGACCTTTTCGCATCTGCTAAAACAGAATCTTCGACAACCACGTCTCTTGCCTTCTCACTTTGCTTGGCCTTGGAGCAATCTACAATTGAATCCGTTTCGCCTTTACCAGAATTTTGAGTCTCAAACATCTTCGTCTTCTCAACTTCTTTCAAATCCTGAGGTAGAGAGGCGGAACTCGCGTTCGTGTCCTGTTTATCAGCAGATGCCTCGTCTTTGACTGTTTTCTTATCCCCTGACACAGAGCATACTGGCACAGCCAATTCAATTTCAGGTGCGGAAATCAGTACTGGAAAGTCGGTACTTGCTTTCCTCTCTGATATTCCCTCGGGCCCATTTTCGATAGCCTTGCTGCATAAGACGGACAGGGGGAGCTTAGGATGTGATCGACTGCAACTTGTGTCACTAGTTCGACCTGCATCTTCTTTGGGCAACTTTTGGACTCTTTTCCCACCATTCTCACACCGTCGGTTCCTATCCTTATCAGAGACAGCTCCGTGAATGTCACTCCCTGAACTCAACTTTTGATGATCCACTTCTTTAGTCGAAGTCCTTGCACCTTCTTCTAAAACGGGAACGCTATCCTTCCTCACCACTTCCAACTCTGAGTGAGACACTTTCGCACTCGATTTTGAAACCTGACCTCCACGTTGACTTTCAACATTTCCTTCACTAGTAACAACGCCATTCGTAGAACTACAGACCTTTACTTCCAAATGAGCATCCACCCTCTGAGATTTTCCACCCTTCCCTTCGTCTTTAAGACCTTCCTTCTCTTTGTGTTCGTCTCGTCGATGTCCCAATGTTGTCTGATGTGGCATGTCTTGTGGCTTACGAACACCGTTTCGGCTCGACTTCGAATCCCTTTCCCTGAAACTCGAATGGGAGGAAACACCCGTATCAAGACCCCTACTACTCTCATTTTCCCTCGTCCGGTCCCCAACATCTCGCGGCCGGAAATAATATTCAGCCTGATCATCGAACGGTACTCGCCGTCCATGACCATTATTTTCCCTGTTGTGATCAGCTCGAAAATTGCCACTCTCTTTGTGAAAGGATGTCGGAGGTCGTGAGGGCTGCCAATGCTCAGGAGGCCAACGACTGAAAAATCCTCCCGGCCTGTCCATGTATCTAGACTCATAATTTCTGGCATCCACTGGACAGTTTCGAGAAATATGTCCCTCTTGCCCACACTGAAAACAGCTCCTCCGATCATTCGGTACAACACGCCCTCGATCATATGGCTGTTGACCCAGTCGAGGTCGTTCTGGGCCAGAACAGGTGGTGTCATTCCACCCTCTTTCCATAGGGCCCACGACCTAACCAATTAACTTCAAACGCTGCTCCTCAGCGTACTGTGAGAGGTCCAGTTCCTGAAATCTGCACCATGAAAAAGCTCCATTGTCAACATGGAAGTTGCAGGACAAGAGCAAATCACCAACATGAAGATTTTTGGCACGCTGTAAACGCTTCCACAAAACCAGAATATATTCTAAGATTAAGAAATCTTCAAGAAAAACATCCTGATTCGTCAAGCTCTAGCTTGAGGAGGTTTTCACCACCTGCAAATCTAATACTCTTTCGTGGTGAGAAATCCAACTTTCCAAGCACTCTGCTGAACCACAAGTACCTCACTCCTAGTGAGGGGTTTCGTTGCGAAGGGTCAACAGAGACAGACCTCGAGATGGTCGACTGACTAACCTCGTTCGAAATGAGGTGTGGGAAAATTATCTGTGCAACTAATTAACGGTGACTTAAATTATATATTCCTTCTCTTCTCTCGTAAGGTTTGATGCTAAATGCGAATGCTAAGTGTGAAACTACATATATTGAAAAGTTCGGCGGTCAACTGACAATCAACCCCTAAACCCACACAAATAAAACAAAGGAGGACAACATCCAAGCTTGAAACTTGACGTTGAGAGCAGCTAGCGAACAGTTTGCACAATGATGTGCAAGGAAGAACGAATCAATCCACAAACAATTTAAAAATATAGTTATCTTCTTCTCCTCCGCATCAAAAAAGTCGCCAATGACAAAACCTAAATTGTTTGTTCCCCTGTATATATCGGCATGCCTCGGACAATTCTCGGCTGACTTTCCGCAAAGTTGGTGGCAAGAACATTCTTCACTAGTAAGGTGTTGCAAGTATTGTTCGAACTCTTCTTTGCGAGCACTATCCGAATCACAAATGGTGATTCGGGTAGTGCTAGCACACACAGTGACGCTGGTCGACAGTCAACTTGTCACTCCAACGGGTCGTCTATCAATTAAAGCTATGAACAAACTTGCGGTAAGTGTTGTTTACATTGTACAAAAATGAAAGCTTGGAAGTTTGAGGCTAAGGCTCCTCTACATTGTATGAAACCACAATGCAAAGAACTTTGGATTACTCCTTACTATACCAACAAAGGTGATAGTACAAGCAAACTGCGAGGAGATTTACAGCTCATGAAACCATCCACCATCAAACGCAAGCGTTGTAGAAAGGCAAATTTTTGACATCCACTGAACGCAATGGCGTGAAACGGACGGAGACAGAGAGATATTAAGCGTTATCACTGTGGTGATTTGGACACTAGAAGCTCCAATCGTCCCTATGAGCTTCCAAAGTACAGTGACTACAAAATCGATTTTGAAGACCTCCTTTCTTTTCTGGAAAGTATCCCACAACTGCCACCTGAAGAAGTTGGAAGAAAATAAGGCTTTGATTGCAGGCAGCAAACAAAAGACAGCACTCATCTCTACAGTCTACATTTTCCTTCTTAAGCGTTTGGCAACACTCGGACATATCACTGATGTTGGTAGCCTTTCCAGGTTCAGATATAAGTGCCGAAAATAAACTACTGCGTCTACATGATGTCCATCATGTCCGCTCAGCCCAGCCAAAACGCTCTTCAAAGAAATACGAAATAAGATCACATCATTTCTCGTCTGTGATTCTCATGTTAGAGTACTGTCCTTCCGTGAGATACTAAAACGAGAAACACTGCGGCGGGATGTCATAATCTTAAAAGAGGATGGCCCGTGCCATTTCGACGACCACCGTTATGAGAATTTGAATCCAAAAGAAACCTCTTGAAACAAGAATGCACATTGTTCACGTCACCAAGCAGGACTACTCCCCTGTGAATTTGGCTGTTATGTGGAACCCGCTAACAAATTGAATTATTAACAAAACAAAACTCCAATTACATGACTAAGTGCTCCTTCGTCTACAGATGTCCGAATCCTTGCAATTCCGCAGCTGTTGTAGCTAAAATGATCGGAGAAGATCATGCTTTGAAACTTTTAAGTGGAGTGTCTCCTCGCTTCCCGATAACAGCTGTTTCGCCAAACCCGTAGAACTTCAATGGACGGCTCACGGCTCCAGACAAACCACAGAAACCATCCAGCAGCTAGCAAAAGTAGATGCCTTCCAGGCCTTCACCCAAACACTATATGAACTGTAATCTACTTGTATCCTCCGTCCGTGATTCAAATCCCTACCAGCGCCCGCAGTTGCTGACCTTTTGACACTACATTAATTCTAGCAATTACGTGGCCGTGGCCTTGGCCCTTCTTCCAGGCTGAAAGTTCAAGTAAGAAACTCCTCAAGCAGAATTCAAGTCGTCGGATTCGGCTTCGGGCGAGGCAGACAAGAGCATGGTGCAGACGGACAACTCAGTCACGTCGCACCAGGAATAGGTCGCAAAAGTCATCACCCGTCGGTCACAGAGTGACAAAGATGCACCATTCATTGAAATTATTTGACTAGTGACAGTCTTTTACAACGCTTACGGAAGGGTAGAGGAAGGGACAAGCGACCTCCTTTCATCAATTGTGAACAACATCAGCCGTCAACTCACCAAATCAGGAACTTCTATAGCATGATGACGAAAGGTACCTCTCCCTCTCTTCCGGATCCGCCTGCACATCCTCACAGCCCTACAACACTCCGGGGTTCAAATCCAGATGAAGGAATCAAGCCAATTGTGCACGGAGGCCTCGCAAACCCGACCTTCAACTCATAACCTAGAGCCACAAAGGACCCGGGCGGAATCTCAAGCTTCTACACAAGAACTCTAGGCACCACCCTCGCAGCCAACCAGCCAGCGAGCCCGCCCGGCCTGCCACGACGAAAATCGCAACCCGAACACCTCCAAGATACTCCGCTCTCGTGCCCCGACCTTCCCTCGGCGCCTGCTTCGACTTCTACACTACGTCCCCCCCACCCGGCTCCTCCTCCTGCCCGGCCCCCAGACTCCCCACTCTCTCTCTCTCTCTCTCTCTCTCTCTCTCTCTCGCCCCCGGCGCTCGTCTCTCAGTCCACGCGGGCCTCTCTGCCAAAAGCAACCCGAGTTACCCGACCCAGCGAACAAACGCGCGGGGAATGCCCAAGCCTCGAAAGCCAGCACAATGACACAATAGCCCGATGCTCCGTGCCACCGGCGCTTTTAGCCACCCCCACTCCCCTCTCCCTCTCCCCCTCCCCTCAAGGCCCCGACGCTCCCCCAGTGCCAATGGCCTCCCCCCTCCGGCACAGACTCTCACGGACACCCACACACACACGCACAGAGCCAAACAAGCACCAGCAGGAGACAGAAGAAAAGGAGGAGGAGGTAGCGACGCAGACACTCACTCGGCACAGACAGACAGACAGAGGCGAGGCGAGGTGAGGTGAGGTGGGGTGGGGTGGGGTGAAGAAGAAGGAACATAACACCCGGGCACACGCACAGACCAGCACAAGAGAAGGAAAGGGAAGGGAAGGGAAGAGAGCGAAGAGAGAGAGGGGAGCGGAGGTGCATTGAACAGGCCAGTCCTAAGGGCCGAGCCGAAGAACCCTAACCTTCGCGACCACCGGTTAACTTTCCTGGCGCCCCCGGCGCAACACGCTGCTACCGTTAGCGCTGTCTTTTCGGCCCACCGGCTTCACTTCCCGGTGAGCCCCGACCGGAACCACTCCCGTTCGCCGGGCTCGCCTTTTGCGCCCCTCTCCCTCTCCCTGCGCCGCTGGCACACTCCTCTTCCTTTTCCTTTTTCGGATTTCCCCACATCTCCTCCCCCTGTATGTGAGAGCAAGAATATAGAGGACGAAGAGCATGTGTTTCTTACTTGTTCTAGATATAATGTTTCTTACTTGTTCTAGATATAGGGATATTAGAACGATTCATAAGATTTTTGTAAAGAATTTTTATTTTTTACTGCAACTCGAGCCTTACGCTTTAAATTGCTACTATAGAGATGGTTCTCCTCTTGGTTGGTTTCGACTGGTTATTTGTTTTGTGTTCTTTTTAGCCTTTTTGACCCTTCGGGGCCCTCGGGCTTGATTTATTACCATTACCTGGGGCCGTCGTCGTGCGCTGCCCGGGTATTAAAACGATCCTCTCCCCTCGCCCCTCTTGGATCGCCCGACTCGTGGAACGAAGAGAAGCCTCGTCTGGTGTTTTTCCTCTCCGCTCGCGCGCTGCCAAGTAAGGTCCAGGCCTACTCGCTCGTCTGCTTGGGCCTCGATGCCATCGCCTCGAGATTAGTTTTGGTTCGGTGCGCCATGCGTGAATATTCCTCCTCCATGGCTATGTCGCAGATCTGCCCGTGTTGCCTCTTTGCCGCTGTAATTTTCTTCGTCGTCTGCCCTTTCGAAGATGTTCATGCGAAATCCAGTTTTGAATCCGGCGCTCGGTTTGAAGTCGGACAGCGGGCATTCCGGTTCGAATTAACTATCGTATGGGGACAACGGTAGGCCGCCTTAGGCTTCGAGAGCCCCGTTAGCGTTGTCTTTGACCTCCTTGGACACGTTACATGAAGTCATCCCTATTTGCTCGTTCCGGAAAGGAAAAGACGCGCGGGTAATGTGATGGACTCATGAAAAACTTCGATTTCTTCATAGTCCGCTTTTACCGTCGAGGGAAGAATCATCCAGCATTACGGAGGTGTGATCCAAAGATTCTCCTTAAACTCTAGCAGAGTATGTGTCGTAGAATTACCTCTCATAAGGTATGGTGGTGTGAGGATATGTTGATGAAATCGGGATGCAATGTGCCCAAGGGTTCAATGCTTTTCCGGAAAGTATTTATTTGTTTGTTACCGATGAACCGAGAGTCAAAGGCGGTCGGTCATTTTTGCTTTTTTTTTGGACTTTCGTGGGGCAAGGGCGTGTGCCAGTGTATCGCTTCAGTCGTGTTGCATAGCTTACCAATGTGGGATTCATTTTGGACTCTTTGTGTAAGTACTTGATAATCCTGTCAAAAGTACGCACAAGTGAACGTTGAGATGGTTATTTCCTCGTTACCTTTGCAGGACACCTGCAAAATTTTGTTCTGATATAGTTTGATAGAAAAATTTACTTGATGGACCCTGCACAATGCAAAACACGTCTTTGGACCCAACGTGAAATCCACAATCACCCATGTTCCAAACCCAATTCTTGTACCCGATAGTTGATGGCTTTAGTGTGGGAGAGTGACTAGTGACTGCCACTATTGAGCCAAAGTATTCTCATGGTAATATATCGGCTGAAGTGTTCCCCTGATAATCTATAAATTATTCTCGTGACTAAATGCAATTTAGATCAACTAGCTGAGTAATAAAAATTGACACACACACACACACACACGTTAACATTGATAAAATAAAGTTTATATTGTGTTCTTCGTCTCCCCTCAATCCTTGTACTCACGTTTTAACCTTGGAGGATCTCGTTGCAGCTACCAACTTATGATCTCGTAACTTTATCCTGAAACTTCGTTTGGAGAGCTATTCGACTTCCAAAAATTGTGTTTGTAGGTGACCCGTTGATGCGTTTTGAAATTTTGAACTCTCGCTCAGGAGAGTTCAAGTATGTTCGAGGAGCTTTGTTCTCTATTCGCTTGTTAAGTACACTTAGTACTCTAGTATACGTTCCCTGTAGTGGGTTGTATTTAAGTTAGAGCTTGTAATGTAACATGGATGCTGTTGTGCATCGGGTCGAAGGGGATCTTGTGGGATACGAGTACGTCTTTTGCGTTCTATAGGATCCAATGAGTAATTCTTTCACTTTATATACGAGTTCCAACGATTGGATTATTTCAGGGTTTCTCTTGATACATTGCAACGTGTGAGTTGTGTACTTGTAGAAGAACCATAGAGAAGGTTATTTTAAGTGGGCGACTAGTATTGCTCACTTAGGGTTAATTAGTCTTCATTCTACTCCAAGCTTTTTTCTGATTGGTAGATGCAGGGTTATAGGTTCCTCAATAGCAATCAGGTAGGATGTAAGGTGTTCGACAAATCAGAGAATCACTTAATAGGAGGGATAACTAGCTCTCCCCTATTTTAAAACCCACCTCCTCGAGGCGCGCATTATTGATCCAGCACAAGTACCAGAGTTGTCACCTTATGTTGTCGTCCAAATCCAATCACATATACAAAGTATTCATTATGGGATTGAAGCAATTTAAATATTGATAAATTTCGAAAGAAATCTTTTGATCGTTGTGATTGAAGAGTCCTTCACAAAACTGTATTTATCGTTTAAGTCAAAGGACTTCAAGGTCGTAAGAAGACAATTGTGCTTCTTTACATTGTCCGAAATCACTCCTTGTGGTTGACATACTATGGAAGCAAAAGACTACATTAGAGAGGCTTTGCATCTAGATCTTGGCGTCAAAACTTGGAGCAATGACATCCTGGGTTCTACTCAACTTGATTAGTCTTCTACTTAATGTACCACTCATTGTTAGTGGATAGACTTCAATTAGCTGATACATCTAGAAAAAAAAAGCTTTCTAGTTAGTGACTGGAAAACGCTTCTGAAATTCCGGTGGATTCAAGTGGCCAGAAAACATATTTGATGTAAGGTTTGCAACGAAGGTGTAAATGGATGTCTTGTGAACAAGTTCACACATGAGACATTCATATACACATCGGTTAATATGCTTACCTGGATCATGTGTGTATTACGAGTACTTCTTAAACTCAACTGGAAGTTGATGTGGATCGACAAGGTGGCTTACCTGAAGACTATGAACCTCACGCATATAAGCCTTGGGCATCTAATGTATACAAGTTTACACCAACTTAGATCCAAAAAAGGGACAACTCTCCCGCACTTCTCTACATTGTGAGGGGTTGATGAAAGAAAAGAATCCATTCCAAAATAAAGTGATAGGAGAGCGAGCAACATCTAGAGCTCATGGACAAAATTGTGTGCAGGCTACCATGGGAAAAGTAAAGCATGCACAATTTCAGAAGAATACTATTCACATTTGAACGTCGCGAATGCGAGTTCGCGTTAATTCACTAAATTCAAAAATGATGAGAAGAATTTCACTTGAAGAAGAATTAAGTCAATAACATCACGGAGAGGACTTACTTTATCTCAAACTGATTAAAAAAACTCTGTGACAATGTATATCGATAAGTCATTCTTGACACCTCATCAAGAGCTGACAGCAATGTGTTCCTCTCAACATAATGAGTTGGTCGATGGTAGGAGTATTTGGTGCGACAATATACACTTGTCCCCATCCGATCTACATTTCCAGTTCGCAGTAATCATAAAGAGCGTGTGCCAGGTGTTTTGTGGTACAATACTCTTGGACATTCCCTTCATTACACTCTACAGTTTGTTCGGTGATCTCCCGTGGTAGATCGCCATAATCGACTACTATTTACAAATTGTAATGGGAAGAAAACCTAGATTACAAGCCTCAAAGTACTAACCCCGAGGCCTTCTCCAATCTCCGTCCAAGTGGATTCTGAGCGAATGGGGAATACTCAATATTTACGATCTTCTACAGATTCCAAAGTACTTTTGAGAGCCGGTTACAAAGTTCAGTAATAATCTTGAACATTGATGACACTCTCGTCAAGAATTACGATATTCCTCCGACTCCAATGTATATCTTGAGACCTAGTCACAAGTGTAAATAATCATCTTCGACATCGATCGTATTTGTTCCTTACCGAAACGATTGACATGACCATATTGTGTCTCCATGGGAAGATGAACACAAAATACGCGGAGATCACGCACGACACTGGCATTCCATCGCAAACTAGTTTTGGATTCCATGACATATTAATGTTCCGATTCCGAGACTGTTGGAGAGAGAATACTATACCAGTATATCATGAAGTCGAGTGTGGATACGCTCATACCAAGGAGCCATCAATGAAAGTAGCAGCTTTGCCGCGATTAAGGAACAAAGAACGCGAAATCCCATTGATTAGGAGCAATTATGGAGCGAGACAATGTGATAAAGGTCGAGAGTCAAGAACGTCGAAAGCAGCTCATGGTAACTTGAACTTCCACTCCCAAACTGCAATACCTGAAAGGATTCACCTCAGCTACAGAGCCTCGGGATGTAGAAGTTCGTTACAGGGAAATGGACAAAAGGCGCTAGATGACAGATGGACCTGGAACTTCCAGCAAAATGTACATCGCCTCGTGGAATCACAACTCCATGTCCGTGCCTTGAGCATTAGTTTCACCTTTACCCGCTGCTGCGAAGGCAGCGAAGGGTGTACGGCAGGCGCATGCAGCCGCCAAAAGAGAAACCGGCGACATAGCGGCCGGGGGGATTGAGACCGGCAGGGGAACGACTTGCCTCGACGACATGCGCTGTCTCAGGCTGACTCCAGGTCCGGGTCAATGCCGCGGTGCAGAAGCTGCCGAGGCAGACGCCAGGTCAGATGTTATCATCGCCCGAGCCCTGGCGATCTTGGGGTCGAGTCCCATGCGGACCTACAGCTCTGCTTATTATAAGCCGAAGTCGTCGACCCGGGCATGATCAGAACGGCGACCTTCTTCACGTCGCCAGCTTTTGGCTATTTTTTTCTATTTTCCGCAGCTTGCCCATCCATTTTGCATGAGACTGGCCGTCCTTTAAAGTAGTCGACCTCTGTTTGTGGATCGTGAGCAAGACCTCTCGCACTTTCCTCCATAACATCCGTCGACAGGGATTCCTGCCTTTTATATACACCGTCCCTCTTGCTCGGCAACGTAGAAAGGGAAGAGATAATTAGACCATCTCGTCCGACATGGCAACGAAACTGAGTTGAGTTAAGAGAAGAAATTGGGAGAAAGGGGAGAGGGAAGAGCACGAGATCAACTATTCAGCCATAAAACACATGAGGTATAGAGAGGGGGCACCATGAAGTTTAGCCTAAAGTATGAGAAGACTGCATCAAGCCTTTCGAGGACAATACGAATCTGTTTTTAGTAACTTAGCAGACAGTATGAGAAGACTCCGTCAAACATTTCGAGGATTTTAACAAGGGCCTATACCCAGTAGCCTCGTTATGTGAAGTATATGCTCCTTCAACTAATTTATCCAAACAGCTAACTAGATTGCTATCATCCGTATGGTACTAGCTTGTGCTCTGCTCATAATAATGAAAAATAAAAAATTGCAATTTACACATTCATTTAAAGAGATCGTTATGCCTGCATAGTATAATGGTCTATATCTATCAAGTTTTTGAAGTCGTGGTTTTTTCTAAGACGATTGAAAAAGGATGGCATCTTTTCATATCCATATACCAGGGTACCCGCTCTCTATATCCATATGCTATAGAAACGTTAGTTGTTGCTGTCTCTCCAAGATATTATTGTTTGAATGTCTTGCAGTCAACTCGGTTTAGGGCAAAATTCCTGATGATTTGGTTTAAGATGAGAAGGTAGTTTTGTATATCGTGGTTTTGAATAACCCATAGAATTATTTTGGAGGTTCAACTATTGATCAACATTGGTGAAAATTTTAATGATTGTGCAAAAAACTCTGAGTTAAATGAATTGTAGACAAAAAAAATTGTAGACAGAGTGATATAGGATCTATCATACTATGTACATGAGTTATATATAAAAGGTCTCAGTATATTTTTCTTGGTCCTAAATGACTTGTAATGTGTTTTTCAGCCTTTTGACTCTTAGGGTATTTACTATTTATGTACTTGGATCATAATAAATTGCAATTTATACTCATTAATCAGTAGCTAGTGTAATATTCGGAAGAATAATCAGGCAACATGATGAGTTTTTATGATGTGGATGTGCTTCGTTGATTATTTTAAATCCACAGATGTAATATCTTATCTGTAGTATCAGGAAATTCCAGATCGTCGTGTTATTGGATTCATAGCTCATCTTATTATGGTTTCAATTTTCTA